GCACCACTTTAGCTAATGGGGCCTCCTGCTGTTGCCCGTCCCGCCGGAGCACAATTTCTGTTCTCATCCTGAAGCAAAGTTCTTAACCCGAGGTACTATTTCTGGGTTAGCAGAGTCTGTAACCTGAAGTGTATGTAACCTGAAGCATATGTAACCCGAGGTACCACTGCATCACCATATTTCAGCTACTATTAGCATTGCTATGTTTTTGTTACTGCTCTTTACGTATCAGAGAATGCCCTCAAAAAAAACTTTCATTAATTTTCAGATCAAGTCTAGGCATACTACAACTGTCCCTAAATGGTGGTTGAAGAGCTGCTGGGGAAGGTGGGTCACAGGACTTATTTGAGTAGGTCTTCCAATTAACAGCAGTGGATGTTGAGGAGAAAACCACACACACACACAAGGATAAAGAGATGGGGATGCTTGTTCAGGAAGAAGGTTGCCCAGCCGGACCTGGACAGAAGAACAAAGGTGGAGTCTCCTCCGTGAAAACTTACCAAAGAAAAGAGACTGCCAATAAACAAGGATGTTGTCTGGAAGCAACAAGGGCTGGAGGAATACCCTTTCCTGTCCACGAAAACAAACTCTTACCAACAGCCCCTTCTCACCTTGGCATTGGTGGAACATGCACAACAGCAAAGCCATCCTGTGTGTCAGCACCTTGTTTCCTCAGCCTTGCAACAAGCAGACTCTGTAAATAATGCCTCGAGTTTCTGCAAAGATTACAAGGTGTGTTGGCCACATGAGAAGGCTCTGAGGAAAGCATGAAGTGTCAATCTGCAAGGCAAATACTCCTAATTAAATCAGGATCAAATGTGGCCATGGGAATAGTCAAGGTGCCGGAGGACACTGGATAGCTGTGATAATTTAAGCAACTCTATCAAACCCCCTTTCCCTTTTTTTGTTTGTTTAAGGAGCAGAATGAGAGCCTGTGCAAGAAGCAACCACAAGTCTTCTATGCAACCACATAATCACACTGCCATGTTTATTCCTCATCAACAGGTTTACCATACCCATTGAGCCAATCACCCATCTCCTACTACCCTCCTGAGAAAAACCCCACCCCACCCTCCCACTATATATAAGGGTCTGGTGACTTCTGTTTCAGTGTATCTGAAGAAGTGTGCATGCACACAAAAGCTTATACCAGAACAAACTTAGTTGGTCTATAAGGTGCTGCTGGACAACTTTTTATTTCGGCTGCGTCAGACCAACACAGCTATCTACCTGAATCTATGTTTATTCCTGTTATTTACTAGCCATTTTTAACGCCAAGAGGTGCGTGGAATAGTTTCATCCCCTCTGCCAGCTCTTTATTGTCACAGGTCTTTTCTGAGTACAAGTTTGGCTTTGCCAATCTATTTTTTTATCTCATGGGTTGAAATTTCAAGTTTCAAAACTTCTATTATAGGCTTTGCACTTAAATTTTCTTTAGTGGTCTTAGTGGATAATATGCATAGTGGTACCTCGGGTTACATATGCTTCAGGTTACATATGCTTCAGGTTACAGTCTCCGCTAACCCAGAAATAGTACCTCGGGTTAAGAACTTTGCTTCAGGATGAGAACAGAAATCGTGCTCCGGCGGTGCAGCAGCAGCGGGAGGCCCCATTAGCTAAAGTGGTGCTTTAAGATTAAGAACGGACCTCCGGAACGAATTAAGTATGTAACCAGAGGTACCACTGTATTGGGGTGGCTAGAGGAAATGTGCTCCTATTCATTACCTCAGGCCACTTTGAGGAAAACTTGGTTGAAAACCACCCTGAGTAGACCCATTTAAATTAATGGCCCAAACATAATCATGTTCATTGAGTTCAATAGATCTACTCCAAGTAAAACTTAAATTGAATACTGCCCTTAGTTTTTGACACCATTGAACACTGAATACTTCTGGAATGTCTGTTTGTGGAAGTCTGTGGTACTGCTTTGCATGGTTCCTATACTGTTGGACAAGGTGGTCTTAGAAGATGGTGCACTGGTGCATTTTATCAGCTACTAGCAATATGTTTTGATACGGAGGGTAGAGTATTCCCCTTAGTGTAAAGTATCCCAAGTACAGTACGGTCTTTTATTTTTCCTTATTGGTGTGAAAGCCAAACATTCACTTATAGAGAAAGTAAATAGATGATTTGGGGATGCTGCAAGGACATTGCTAAACCTGTCCCCTGTCCCTGTTGACCTAAACCACTGAATATCAAATCTCCTATCTGCGAAGTCTCTCATCACATATTGAGCTCTTTTCCTTGGTTATACTAGCCTGTGACTGGGAACTGGCATAAATACCTGGGAGGGAAGGAGAGAGATATGAATTGCTGGCTGTGCCATTTCCTACAAGACCAGGAACATGCTACTCTACCTGTTGGTGGGTACTGGTCATAGAGAGCATATATCAATGGTGAATTTCCAGTTGTGCTAACAGCTAGTTAATTTAACTGCTAGTTAAAGTTGTTGGTGGCCTGATACCACTGTATCTCAGGAGACCCATTTAACCTTATGAGCCCCTTAACATGTTAAGATCTCCAGATAAAGGTTAGATTAGATTACTGAATTTCTGTACCACTTAATATATTAAAAACATATCTAAGCGATGTACAGAAAACAAAAGCAGCAACAGACAACTTGAACAAAATATTACAAAAAAACCAGTTAAATAGAAAAATGTTACATTAATACAAAGTTACTAATACATCAATTCGTTTTCCTTGTGACACACCCTCCCTCTCAGCCTTTGGGTTCTCACCCAGGGTCCAAAGAAACTCTCAGCTCACCCACAAAAGTCTCACAACGAGAAGAGTTCCTGGAAACAGCAGACATCACCCTAGTCTCTCACTCCAGACTTGCTTTTATGGGAAGGCCCAGGGTGGATGGTACTTCCTCAGACTGCCCACAGCTATGTCCCATTCAGCTGCACTGTCCACACACCCAGTTTCAGGTGCAGTAAGTTTGCTAAGTTTTCCAGGGGGGTCCAAAGGATGGGGAAAGAGAAGCTCTGGGTGCCTCCAGGAGACCTGTTTGTTGAGCATTCATCCTGATTTTCTTTAAGTGAAAGGTTTGGCTGATTTTTATTTATTTTTATTTTATTGAACATTTGTTCTGAGTCGAAATAAATAAAAAATCGTCCAGGAGCACCTTACGAGACCAACTAAGTTTGTTCTGGGTATAAGATTTCATGTGCATGGACACTTCTTCAGATACACAAAAGTGTGCATGCACACAAAAGCTTATACCCAGAACAAACTTAGTTGGTCTCTAAGTTGGTCTCTTAGTTGGTTTGAATTATGGTGCTGGAGGAGACTCTTGAGAGTCCCTTGGACTGCAAGATGATCAAACCTCTCCATTCTTAAGGAAATCAGCCCTGAGTGCTCACTGGAAGGACAGATCCTGAAGCTGAGACTCCAATACTTTGGCCACCTCATGAGAAGGGAAGACTCCCTGGAAAAGACCCTGATGTTGGGAAAGATGGAGGGCACAAGGAGAAGGGGACGACAGAGGACGAGATGGCTGGATAGTGTTCTCGAAGCTACCAGCGTGAGTTTGACCAAACTGCGGGAGGAAGTGGAAGACAGAAGTGCCTGGCGTGCTCTGGTCCACGGGGTCACGAAGAGTCAGACACGACTAAACAACTAAACAACAACAACAAAGGTGCTCCTGGACAATTTTTTATTTATTTCAACTGCGTCAGACCAACACAGCTACCTACCTGAACTTGTTCTGAGTTGTTTGTGGGGCAGTTATATGACAATAAGTAGATTGAAAACTTACCTGGAGGCAGCACTCATCCTGAAGAGGGTGTATCAGTCGAAGCACTTATCATTTCTAGACTACAAACAGGTTTGCACAAGGACATATATTTGTATATTTATGTATTCCCTGGAACAGAAAAGCCTTGATGGTTTCTTTAGTAATTACAACAGTACAGAAAAAAACAGTGCATTATTAAAGCATTTCCCTTCCCAGTGCTGCCTATTTCAGATCTATTTTTAAACATCTATTTTGAAGTCTTAAAAGATATTTATGTAAAAGAGCATCACTTGAGAAAAGCTGGCTCCCTATTCTCTCCCTCCACCCCTCGTTTAGCCTATGCCATCCTACGCCAGGGCATCATGACAGAAGCTCTTCTGGAATGAGATGTTGCAGTTCCATTTGTCTCCTTGAGAAGCAATTGCATTCGTGGTATGCAGCACAGAGTGCCAAAAAAAGGACCTTCTCCAATGGAATGACAATGCTTCAGCCCAAGACTAAAGGCTTGAGACATTCCAAAGGAGAAGGACAGCACAGGTGGGCATCTTTGCAGCTAGCCAATCCAGAGAGAGAGAAGCAATAGGAAAACACACTTTTATAGCAGTTCCAAAATACACTCAAGGGGGAGTGCCAGGACACAGTGCTTTGTGCTATGTACAGCTTGAAGAACAGGACAAGGACCAGAGTGTTGAAATTAACAGGATATAGTACTGTACTAATTTACACATGGACTGAATATTTGTGATGTGGGACAACAAATGTGACTAGTGAAAACTCCCTAATGTTGCATGCAAACATCATTTCTAATTCCAAGATATTTGCGTATAATATTCTGGACAAAATGTCTGAAAGAAATGTAACAAAAGTTTATCCGGTAGGTACTGGTAGTAGGTAGGCCATGTGGAAGCAAAGCAAGGTAAAACAAATAATATGCAAGAAAGCTGTTGTGATAGTAAAATAATTTGGAGGTTTTATCAGCAACAAGCACAGTTTATTTGCTTGAAACTCTTACGAGATTTTTAGCATACGAAGCATCCTGAAACAAGTTGCCCGTGGAGTGTCAAACACTCTGACACTCTTTGTCGCAACTCCAGTGTTTTCCTTCACCAAGACCTTGCTTGTTAGACCTTTGCTCCTACATTCATCCCACACACCCTCACAAATACAATGACAGTCATTAAAGTGAGCATATCAAGAAGATTTGAATCTCACTTGCTAGTGAGTTTTTAATGTAATGTAATTTTATTTTTTCTGAAATGGCTATATACAAATATTTAAATACATAAAACAATGAAAAGGGTCTAGCTGTTGCTTTGATTGTACACTTTTATGTTGCACGACCAAGTAAGGTAGGCATGATAAATCCACATGTATGTAGAAATACCTAGACAAAGAACTGAACGATGCCAAATGAAATCACTTCCCAGCGACTTTATCGCCCTCACCTGAACGCTTGGAGATAGGTTGAATCCTGCTTTGGGAGGGGGGCATTTCAAGAGCAAATTGCAGGCTGTTTACCAAGTGCTTCTTTATTGAGATATCCTGTGAAATTTATTTTTTAATTAAATAATCAGAACTTTAGAACCTTCTTTACCATATAATGAAAAATGGCCACTTACCATCTAATGCTAGGGAGCGGTGGTTTATAGCCCAGTGTGACCGCAACGAGCTAGGGGCCACTGTTCTGTCCCACGCAACTGTTTGAGAACATCAGTGCCTCCTATGGTTGTATGGGCTGCTGGGAGCCTGCTCAGTTGAATCAACCAATCATGAGCAGACAAAGGGGTATGGCCATAGTGGTGGACATGGCTGGAGACTTTGGCCTGGAACCTTCAGTCAGGTCCACCAGCTTTCTATATAATTGGGCCACGCCTGAGCCAACCAGCTCAGTCAGAGTTGGATTGAGCTTGTCTTGAAGTTTTGCCTGTGTCATAGCAACTGTCACAATTTATTGTTGGCAGATAAAACATTAGGTTGGATTCTCAGCCTGGGCAGGGGCTTAGGACTCGTCCCCCTCCACAACAGGAAATTGGTACTCTGCTGAAAGCGTCTAGGAGGGGGGGGGTTTGTCCAGGTGTCCAGACGGGGGTCAACAGGCCATAGCACCCTCCCAAAATGGCAGTCCTGGAGGAATTGCCCTATTTGATGTACATCATGGAGTGACTCATAACCCAGTGTCAACCCAGCCGAAACAATCAGCTATCAGGTGGGCTGGCTGATTCAGGATACACACCCAATGCCTTCACCAAAATCTACATACATCTGTAATAAACAAAAGTTGTGGCCTATTTGAACCCAGGTCCTGTTATCCTGCGTCTTATTTATCTCCTCTCTTGAGGCCCTGTTGGCTGCATGCTGCCTGGGCCTGGAGCAGCAACTGCAGCCTATTCTAGTGCCATTTAACACATAATACAGGATAAAATCTACTAAAATATTATCATTTTCTGTCTCTGTATAATGTAATTGTTATTTTTTTAAGACTAACTTTTATGCATAAGAGCCTAGTATCATTCACAACATTTTACAGTTAGAGGCTCCTTAGATCTATTTTTCCCTTTTCAGTAAGGCTGTAATAGATACTTGAAATGTGATTAATTAAAACACAGTAATAGTTCTAATAGAGTTTTGTAAGGTATTCAATGATTTAGGAGACTGTGAAGGATTTAAAAAAACGCTAAATTTAGAACTGCTTGATTAAAAGTAAATTATTCAGCAAAGTTTCGATCACTTCTAAGATAATAGCGAGTACCCTGATCCATAGATGAATGAACTTGCTCAAACCATTTGGGTTGTGTTATGTAGGATTATGTAGACAACTTTTGTCTTGTTGCTACTATTCTGTGGCACACCTTTCAAGCAGTTTCACAAGGTATTCCGTTCCTACACTGAAGGCAGTGTCACATAGGAATGAATGGGGAACCTACATGTAGATCAGAATGTGCAATTGTTGCATGTGTACACCATTATACATTCAAGCACAGAATTAGATATAAATAAAACCATTAACATCAATAGTTTTGTTTGCTGAATTGCATAGACAATCAGAGACAATGAATACCAACTGAGGAGATGGCCGGCAGGAGCCTGGCCCTCACCCCACCTCCCAGTCAGCCGCTGATTGGCCAGCCAAAAAGGAGGCGGAGTGATGGCCAGTCAGCGATGGGGTGTCACCCAGGCTTGGGAAGCCCACACCAGATCGCAAACCCTGCCCACCGCGGTAATTCTGTATATACAGGAATTTTGAAATGCAAGAAACAGACTTTAGACTGATCTGTAAAGGTTGTGGGGCATGGAGAATATCATTTAAAGCCAGAGTGTTTAACTAGATTAGGTATTTAGACTTACATTTCTTCTTCTGCTACTGCTTGGAATTGATACAGCTCGCAGCTATTCTTTATAACAAGGGATAGTCAACATGGGGTCCTCCAGATATTGTTGGACTCCAACTCCCATCTTCCACAGCCAATATGACCAATGTCAGGGATGATGGGAATTGTTGTGTAACATCAACTGGGGGGCACTGATTTGGCCAGTGCCCTCTTAATTTAACAAATAGGGATCTGAGGCTGAGAGAGAGTGATTTATTTAAGGCAGAGATGGAGGTAAACCCAGGTTCCTTCCACCCTCACTCTCATGATATAAACAGGCTTGTGGTATGATCCTAAGAGCTGTCCCATTGCCATAGCAGTGCAACATCACGTAATAGCACATAATGCCAGTTTTGGAATTCCAAGCACATGACACCAGCACTAATGTTGAAGGGTGCCAGTCCCATTTAGTAAACAGGTCTAAACCGACTTAAATCCCTCATAACATTTTTAGGACTGCAGTCGTAATAGTTCAATGTCATCTAAAGAAACATACTAGGCAAATACTTTGCTCCATACATTTATCTGTGGATTTTTCATCTTGTTCTCTTTAGGTGGCTTGTTTAAAACAGGAATGGCTAACTACTGGTGCAAGGACTTCTCTGGCACCCAAAGCATTTGCCCCTTGACATATTACTCTAAAAGACCTTATTGCTTTTAGCTGACAACTTCAGGTGGAGTTGATTTGTGCACTAGAATAAATGTCTGGTTCCCAGATAAAACTTTGCTCTACTTCAAGATCCAGAAGCTGAGCTCCTCTGATGCATAGAAATCACATAGTTAGAACAGAAGACACTTCAAATAACACAGAATTCACAGCAGATGAACAGCTGTTGCTTACCATGTAATAGTTTTGGATATAGGCAATAATGCAGTATTGCTGAGCCAAGGGGGCCTGGTCCTTAATGGCTGTGGCGAAGGTCTGTTGCTGAGTTCTCTTCTCTAATCTTTGCTGCCCAATGGGTAACATTAACCCACTAGAAAAAAGAAGGGAGGGGTGAGGGAGCCTTAATTTGCAAAAGCATCTCTTTGGAACCCAAATCTGTGGCTGCTGCCTGCTTGTTCTTCTATGTGGTGGGAAAGCCCCCATGTTCCCTTTTCTCTCTAACCATCAAAATCACCCTGCAAAATTCTTGTCCTCGTGCTTGAAGCCTAGCATAAAATGGATGCTTCTGGAACATCTCAACTTTCCATGGACACCTAATACAAACAAGGCAGTACATTCAAAAGACGCTTAACCATGGAAGGCTGCTGCTAAAAAAAGACAAGAGCTCATTCTCCCGGCTTAGAGAGGATTCTAAGAATTCATTTTTCATGAGAGATGGGGCTGTTTATTGACCATTCTTCAGTGACCTCGAATGAAAGAGAAGACAGCTTGCTGCTCACTCTACCTGGAGCTGGATGGAAGTGGCTCTAGGCTACATCCCTGCAATCTGTAGTTTCTTCACCTGCCTCAGATACAAGCCACCATGTTGGTTAAATGGAAACTGCACAGCTGTTTGATGTCTCAAAGCAGGACTGCAATGTTGAATGCAGCCCCTGACTAAATGTTAAGGCTCAAGGTAGAATTCACATGAAGGCGAGGAAGAGTGAGATATGCAAAGCTGGGAGATTGTATTCTATATGAGTATCAATGGATTCCTGATGAGCTCTGCACTCATCTGCCAATACAGTGGTACCTCAGGTTAAGAACTTAATTCGTTCTGGAGGTCCGTGCTTGACCTGAAACTGTTCTTAACCTGAGGTACTATTTCTGGGTTAGCGGAGTCTGTAACCTGAAGCGTCTGTAACCCGAGGTACCACTGTATACTATTGTTATGTTTAGCTTTATAGCCCATGTTATTGCTAAAATAGCTTTGGCCTACAAAGGAAGTTTTACCAAGTTCCCAGGTTGAAGCGGTACAGAAAGCAGTACAGATGCTTCTGAAGCATTTCTGCTTCCCACAGCATACATCTTACAATGAGGTGTTTCCTCTGGAAAATGCAGTTAGTGCAGAATGCTCCAGTACTATTGCTTACAGGAGTGAAGCTGTCAGCATATTATACCTGAGCTCAAAGGGATGCGAGTGGCACTGGGGTCACTGAGCCTCTGGGGCTTGCCGATCAGAACGTCAGCAGTTCGAATCTGTGTGACAGGGTGAGCTCCCGTTGCTCTGTCCCAGCTTCTGCCAACCTAGTAGTTTGAAAACATACCAATGCAAGTAGATAAATAGGTACCACTGCGGCGGCAAGGTAAACGGAGTTTCCGTGCGCTCTGGCACTTGTCACGGTCCTCCGTGTGCCAGTTGCTGTTTAGTCATGCTGGCCACATGACCTGGAAAGCTGTCTGTGGACGAATGCCGGCTCCCTTGTCCTGAAAAGCAAGATGAGTGCCGCACCCTATAGTTGCCTTTGACTGGACCTTACCATCCAGGGGTCCATTACGTTTTACCTTTTCCTTACCTGAGCTCAAATATCTAAACTGGCTGCTAGTTTGCCACCAGGCTGAGTTCAAGTGTTACCACTGGTACATAAAGCTCATAATGGATTGGGACCAGTTACCTTGAGGAATAGCCTTACCCCATATGAGCTGACTCACTTTGACCTACCAAACTTGCACTGCTGCATTGGTCAGGAGCCATGCCTTTAGTGTGACAGTACCTGTGCTTTGGAACTCTCTGATTACTGACAATAGGCAGGGGCCATCATTGTATTCTTTTAGATGCCTACTGAAAACACTTCTATTTTGGTGGGCCTATCAAGACACATGATCGGTTACATGTTTGATTGTTTTAAACATTTTTAACAGTTTTTAAATGTTTTAACTATGCTTTCATTTTATTTTTAACTGTATTTTTTATTACGGATATACCCTTTCTTCAGCAGGAAGGGCAGGATATAGATTTGATAGGTAAATAAGTAATGCTTTGGATTCTGTTTAGACGCCTTTTGAAAATAGCTCCTTAAACTATAATACCACACAATTCCTTATTGCACTAAAGACTAGGAACTGCCCCCCCCCCCAATAAAAGTGGCTGATTTAAATATATTTATATATTATATATTGGCAGGAGCTGGGAAGGGTGCTCTGGAAAGTGTATCGCATATCATGAGCCTTGATAGCAGATTTATAACTGTTTTTGATTGTAATATGCCTCAAATTTCTCCTACAAAATTTATCCCACAAAATAGGTAGAATATGAATTTTTTAAACAAGTAATTCAAAAGCAGTATGGGTGGGTTTGGAACCCCAATTTCTGTTAAGTGGATGACTAGCTTGGGAGTGTCTCTGCCTTAAGATACTTGCCCTTTGTTTCTCATTAGTATGTTTTGATTTACACGACGTCTGCTTTCATCAGCTGTTACCGATTCCCTCTTTGGTAGCATAGCTTTAATTCTTTGGCATGCTGCTTAGGAGGTCATGCCTGTTCAGGACAGTGGCAAGCTGATGATAAACCCTTAAGGATAAGGACAAAAGTGTCAGAGATGATAACTAGATCTTTGTTAAATATTAAGGACCTGTTCTCCTGACCTGGGATGTTGCAGGTCTTTCTTCGTTCATTCAGGGGATTCATATTTCATTTTTGACCAAAGTCCTTAAACTCTCTCCATACAAAATTCTGGCCTTTGACAGTTAAACTATTTTGTTTTGTAGAATCCACCATTTTTGTTGCTGAATCTATACTTCATTTTTGTTGGAATGGTATTACCTGTTTTTATAACTCTGTATGCAGTTTCAACCTGCCCTGGTGAAGGGCAGATGATAAATCTTACAAAGAAAGTAAGAAGGGTTCTCAAAATGGCTCGCAATTATTTATTCGTGTCTTGACTTCACTTTTTATTTAGTCACTCTTTCAAAGCTTGCCCTTCTGTACCTTCTTACCCCTCTTCCCTTTTAACACAGAAAGGGAGTTAACTCCCTTGTAGCGCAGCCTACACCATTGTAATCATGTGAGCAGGACCAATTGGGATGGCAGAAAGACCCACATGATCTCCCTCAACCAGATGGAGCATATACTCACACACACTTTCCTGCAGTATGTTTGTGTGTGTGAATGGACACATGACCATCTATGCTTAATTCCCAGTGTTCTGTTTTCTTACTGTCATTTTTACCTGAGGCTTTGCTTGGGCAAAACAAAAAAGAAGAGAGTTTCTTTAGTGTCAACATTCCTGCTGATAGTGGATGCTTCTTCACACATCACTCCAGGAAAATACATGTTTCCACATATGGGTTCAAACTGCAGGCAAATGCATGTATAAATATATATTGCACATGTGTTTGGGAATCTCAGATGTTGCATTTTAATGCCTAAAATGTAACAGATTCTTAAAATGTAATTGATAAAATAGCTGTTTGCCAGGCTACTAAAATGCAAGTATATTTGCAGGATTTGATCCAATAAGAGCGCCAGGTGGGAAAACTGCCACAAACTCTCTTTTTTAAAGGGATCAGACACCAGATCTCTCCTGCACTGGCATTACCACCCAAGTTTAAAGAAATGGTTAGCTTCCATGCCAAAGTATCACAACTGATAAATAATGACTAAACTTGGTCATTTCTATTAATACATTTTCTGAGGGTAAATAAGTGTATAAGTGGCAAGCAGGCTTTAGGACCAGTCTCTGATTTCCAAATATAGAGAGGGGTTGAGCTAAGAGAAGAATCACAGCCTATAAAAGCTGACAGAGATGAAAGGCTTACTGGTGGCTGAGAGCTGTGAGAGGTAAGTTTGATAATCAGTCTCTCTCCCTCCATCCCCATTCCCTACCCCCTCCCTCCTGCAATTTGGGCAACATACTCCAGAGCTTCCCACTTTGGGAGAGATCTCGGGGCAACCAAGTGTTAATTTAGACAATAAGGGCAGCTATACTTTAGCTGAGCTTAAAGGCACTTTGCTCTGAGGAGGAATTTTAGGGGGAAGAGGGTCCATTTCTGTAATGTATTTTGAGATTCTAAAAAATTCTCAGCTGTTGAGGATACTGGACTCATGAATGCTTACGCTGTCTGCTCCTTTCTAGATTAGACGTCTTATTTCATCCAGTTCCTTTCTTCTTTCTGTTGGGAGTGGAAAATAAAAAGGTGAGAAGTCATGGTGTGGCGCTATGTGTCCCACCCCTACCCCATCTCCCAAATTACAGTTATTGATACTTTTTGTGTGATGCAATTTCATTTCCTCAATCAGTCTGCCGTGGAGTGATAATAACTGCAGTGCTTCTGTGCTTGTGTATTGAGGAGAGGGAAAGTACCTCCCTATACTTCGACTTCCCTGCCTGCAAATTGTGGGTGAAGGAATGACACTCTAAGAAATAGGTGGACCATTTCTTGGAAAAACCAATCTCCCATGCACTTATGTTATCATTTTCCAGCATTCAGTATTTGACGAAGAGTCTTACGGCATCTTAAAGATGAACTAATTTAAAATGGCATGAAGTTTTATGGACTACAATCGACTTCATCAGATGCATGAAGTGTTATCTTGAGTTATAGGTGCATATACACATGAGTTGGGACGAGGGGGTTGTGTAAAGTGAGGTCAGAGAGAAATAAAATGTAGAAAAGTACTTAGTTATTTAGGTTTTTTTTAGTATACCACCCTTTACCTGCAGATCTCAGGGCGGTTCGCAACAGAAAATTACATTATAAAAAACACAAAATGCATAATGAAAATAAGAACAAAAACAAATCAATAATCCCCCCTCCCACCACACATTTAAAAGGGCATCAGATCCTGACATCAGTGAGCCAATTAACACATGTATTGTGCGGAAGAAAATCCTTTGTCTCAGTTCAGTTCACAAGTGATAGTCAATGTTTGTCACATTCAGAGTAGACCCACAGAAGTCAATGGAACTACTCCTAGCATGACTAATGTTGGATGTTTCCAAATGAAAATGTTGATAAATTGTAATTCATTGGTTTCACACAGCACTCTCCCTTTGGAGGTATTTTGCTCCAGGATGACTAGTTTAAGAACTTTAACAGAATGTTTTGGAAGGCTGAAATGTACCCCAACAGCCCATATAAAAAAGATATTGACATAGGAAGCAGCCCCTCTGGCAGATCCAGATGCCTTGGGTAGCTCAGCTGGTAGAGCATGATGATGATGATGATAATAATAATAATAATAATAATAATAATAATAATAATTTATTTGTACCCCGCCCATCTGGCTGGGTTTCCCCAGCGACTCTGGATGGCTTCCAACAAAGATTAAAAATACATTACAATGTCACACATTGTAAAAACTTCCCTAAACAGGGCTCTTAATCATGGGTTCAAGCCCCACATCGGGTAGAAGATTCTTGCATTGCAGGGGGATGGACTAGAGGACTCTCATAGTCCCTTCCAGCTCTACAATTCTATGATTCTATTGTTCTCTGCATACCTACTCTGGAAACACTATCACAGGACCTAATAATGTCACCCACAACTTCAGGGTTTCATTCGCCTCCACATCTGCTAATGTGATATGTGTCATCATCTGCCAACAATGCCCACCTGCATTTTACAAACTGGCCAGTCCCTGAATTACAATACATCAGGCACTTGAATATTATCACTTGTGGATGGAAGCGAAACAAATAATGTTTAGGTTTTTATGTGTTCACTGGCTTACCATTGCCAGGATGTCATCGTGAACTATTGCTGTATGTGAATTACCATTGTTAAGTATGTAATTGTCACTATCTATACTTTTTCTGCATTTCATTTCTCTCTGACCTCGCCTTTACAATCCTCCCCACAAACCATGCGCGCGCACATACACGCATCCTCCCTATAACTAAGGAGAACACTTCATGCCTCTGATGAAGTGGACTGTAATCTTTGAAAGCTTATCGCCAATAAATGTGTTAGTCTTTTAAGCAGCCACAACACTCCGTTGTTTTCACTGCAATAGAGGAACATGGCTACTCCTCCGGAAGACGTGTAATATGATCTCTTTCCCAAGTGAGATCCCTAATCTCTCATCATCAGAAGCAGCAGTTCCATCCCCTGAAACTGCCTGCAGCAGATGGTTGAGGGTTCTTTGTTTCTCACTCACAGCACATGCAGACACATGCTACTTCCCATCCACTCAACACAGAGACTGCAGAATTCAATCAACATTCTGCTTAGCACAGGTGCCACTTCATATCTCAAGTAATCTTATAGTTTCACAGCCACTGCCCCTTCTCTCCTTCCTCCCCTTTCCCAGTACACAGGTACATTCAACAGCAACACAGACACAACTTGATGAAAGAAAAGGGGGCTTCCATTTACACTGAGTGCAGGAACGCTGAAAGTGGGAGTAAACCAAGTTTTTCCCCCTGCCCAGGAGTTCCTGTTACAATCTTACTTGTTTATCTCATCCCATGTTCTGAGCCAATAAAATGTAACTTGGAAAGTAGGAGGCACAACAGAGGTGCTTCCTCACCAAAGAACTATGCTCAAGGAATGTGTAGAACTAAAAAAACCCCACCCACCCATCTCAGGCCTTGCTGTGACAAGCAACATATGCTAGATGCCTAGATTTAAAAGCACTCAAGGAAGCAAGCAAGCCACATTTGGTCTCTTTGGGTGGGTTTGGATGGCTGCAAAAAGAGGAGTGATCCTACCAAAGGTAACGTAAACAAATGATTTTTTTCTGCATCAGATAGGCCATTCACAGAATTATAATAATAACAATTCTATACCAAAGTAACTAATTTGACTCGAATATACAAATCAGGCTGTTACATGCAATTGTTTTGCATAATTTGTTTTCTGTCAAAATTATCACAGGGCAGGATGCAATTGTGATACTTACTTCTGTATTTCATTATTTCTTTCAAATTATTATGCTTCCTTTTGAAACTTAAAAAAAAAGTCAATTGCAAGGTGCTGCATTCTTTTCTAGATTCCATATTTTGTATTTGTGCAGCTATTTCATGGATGCTAAACTATCCTCACTATTGTTATTTGGTTCAAAATGGCAATTGACTTATATTCATTCTTAATTCTCCTTGGTATTGATATTTTGCCCTTTAACAAAGTTCTTAGGGCAGTTGCAGATAAAAATAAATCAATGTAAGAAGCATATTAAGGGCAAATAGATAGACATAAGTAAGCTAGTGATCTTTCAGGAGACAGAACTATTGGATTATAGAAAACTGAAGGGAGAGTGTGCCCAGAATTTAGTGTGAGCTATCCAATACCACATATTTCAGGTGTTTTTGGACTTCAACTCCCATCATCACCACTGGCTTGAGCTGATGGGAACTGGAGTCCAATAACACCTGGGTGGCACTAAAGGCAACGACTGTTTTAAACTTGTCCACGTACACTGGCCCAAATCTGAAAGTGACCCGAAGACATCACAAAAATGTCACAAAAAGGGTTGGAACGGAGTGGGAGCAGAACAGGGTGGTGCAGTGCGGTCTTACAGGGGCCCACTGACATGGGTGTGTGTGTGTGTCTCTGGGATGTAACACCGGTCCCTGACTGTAAATTGTATACCCCTGGCATAGTACATAATGTCAGGATTACAGAGAAAATGGGAGTTTGTGGGAATAGCTGGACCTTCTGTTCTGCTTACAAAAGGGATCATTCACGCTGCTGCACACTCTATTAGATTTAGGAATAGGGACCATGTCTGGTATTGTCTGAACATGATGTCTCTAGTTCAAGTTTCCTAGACTTCCACAGAATAAGGACTGACCCTCCTGTCTCACTTTTAGCTGCAGCAATGAGCAGTGATGCAGAAATGGAGATTTTTGGGGTGGCTGCCCCTTTTCTCCGAAAATCTGAGAAGGAGCGAATAGAGGCTCAGAACCAACCCTTTGATGCCAAGACCTATTGCTTCGTGGCTGATCCAAAGGAGGAATATGCCAAAGGGAAAATCAAGGGCACTGAAGGTGGCAAAACTACCGTGGACACAGATGATGGCAGGGTGAGTGTCTTTGAAGATTTGGGATGGGGTGTGGAGTCCTCCTTTTCAATAAGCATGTGCCAAGATTTTCCAACTGAATTGTTCTGATCATAATTGGGACAAAATTTGTGAAGCACTTAAACTGCTGGGATGAGCTACTGAAAACATCTCTATAATATGTATATTAATTTTTACACAAAGAGTTTTCGGTCTGTCCTGAAGATAGGTGGTGGTATCATCATCATCATCATCATCATCATCCTACATTTCACCCCAAGATCCCAGGGTGGGTTACAATAATTTAAAACACAACATTAAAAAGTTTTTAAAACTTACAATTACTTTAAAAATTGTGTGGGTCCTAAATATATGCCATCACTATTGAAATCATTTCATTTGTACTGCAAGCTTACATTGTGGCATAACCATTTCTCATTGAAAGTCCTTCCTTCATTGCATTTCAGACTCTGACTGTCAAGCCAGATGATGTCTATTCTATGAACCCACCTAAGTTTGACAGAATTGAGGACATGGCAATGCTGACGCATCTGCACGAACCTGCTGTTTTGTATAACCTCAAAGATCGCTACAGCTCCTGGATGATTTATGTAAGTGGTGCTATCCTGGTCCACAGAAAGGAATCCCCAAAGGGAAAGGGTCTAACAGTATTTTTATTGGTTTTCATGCAGACCTACTCGGGCCTCTTCTGTGTCACTGTTAATCCGTACAAATGGCTGCCTGTATACAATCCAGAAGTGGTGGCTGGCTATCGGGGCAAAAAGCGCACAGAAGTGCCTCCCCACATATTCTCCATCTCTGACAACGCCTATCAGTTCATGCTAACTGGTACGTATACTTCACAACTGAAAGGGGAATAAGGTGTTATAAGCAGAAGGGAATTGGAGGAACAATCATGATACCATCAGGCTTAGTAAACCTTTGTCGCATGCCCAGATTTTAGGAAAATTATTCCAGTGGTTGAACCTGTAACTCAGCATATGCCTCTGCAGCATAATGAGCATGCTTCTCCCTTTCCTTTTGGCAGATCGCGAAAACCAGTCTATCCTGATCACGTAAGCAGATGCTTTGGATTTGTCCTACTTCATATTGCCAAAGTACAATTATAACATAAGTAATGGTCCTCCATTTTTCTTTACATGATGCTTGCTTTTATCGTGACAGTGGAGAATCTGGTGCTGGAAAGACTGTCAACACCAAGCGTGTCATCCAGTACTTTGCAACAATTGCAGCTACTGGAGAAGGAGCTAAGAAAAAGGAATCTCAATCCAAGATGAAGGTAGGACGAGATGGGCTGGCATTAGTGCAAATAAACCTGTGGTTGGAAGCATACAAAAGGCACTGCTGAAGAACCACAGACTCTGAACAACTTCCTGATTGGTTATACAGTCATCCTTTGGAATCTGTTCCGGAAGTCTGTTCGACTTCCAAAACATTCAGAAACCAAAGTGCGGCTTCTGATTGGCTGCAGGAACCTCCTGCAGCCAATTGGGAGCCCCGTTGGACGTTCGGCTTCCAAAAATAGTTTGCAAACCAGAACAGTCACTTCCAGGTCTGCAGCATTCGGGAGCCAAAACGTTTGAGAACTAGGCTGTTCGAAAACCAAGGTATGACTGTACTCTGTTCTGTTAAGTGATCAGGTCTATAGAATTTCCTTCATCAATTAAGAAACAATGGGGCTTACAGCCAAAGTATCACAATTCACCAAGCCCTGAGACTTCACTTACTGGATCCACATGGGATAGCTTTCTGAAGATTTTTTTTAACTATGCTTTTTCTTTAAAATAAGGGCTGTGGATTTCTAAGCAATAATTAATTCATTCTGTGATGTCCTCATGACACTTGCTTCCAGAGCTGTTACAATAAAAAGCTATGAAGCACTTCCAGCATACAGCATCTCAATAATTTTCACGGCAACTGCTGAGAAAGGAAAGTGGTTGAAGAGTATGTTGTTCTTTTTTCTTTTTCTTTTTTTTGCATTACCTATCTTCCTCTGCCTGAAACAGGTTGTGAAATGTGGCTATATCCAGCCACTAGTCTAAGGGTGCCTCTAAGGCTAAGCAACACAGTACCATGGACAGCTGTCCAGGTGGTAGAAAGGACAAATCATTCCTCACACAGGAATGGTTCTAGTTGAGATGCACAGAGAATTTCCTGCTGTTCTAGCCACACTTTTGTATCTTGTTCCAGGGGAAAAGGATGTAGTATGAAAGGCGTGGCCACAAACTGTTTCTTAATTCACCTTTAGTTTCTTACAGTTTCCTGTCTCTCTTCCTTTCTTTTCCTCCCTTTTCCATTCTTTCATTTCTTCATTCCCTTCCTCTCTCTACCAGAGCAGTTCAGAGTCAAACTTGCAAAACAAACAAACAAACTGGGAAGGGATCATACAGTAGCTATAAGGATGCATGCAACAGACACCTTCTCACTTGAACCCTTGAGTCACTTTCAGATCCCTGCTTGGTGCAGGGAAAAATGAACACATCACCTGTATCTGAATACCCAAGACCAATCACTTGTCCTAAAATGAACATAATTATGACTCAAGGTCCATTCATGACCCAGGCATTCTTCACGTTAATCAGACTTAAGGATCTAATTATGACTTGGTCAAATTGGAGAGTGAAACAAGTTAAGGGGTAGTTTTTCATGAAAACTAATGCGGAAAGCTAACACTTAGCTTTAGAATATAGCATTATGAGCATAGCATTGTGCCCAAAGTCTTGTGTATTTATCCATGTACATTCAATAGCTGTTACTTCCATTGTTTTATTATTCACTTTTCAAATATTTCCTTTCCTTTCCTTTTATAGGGGACACTTGAGGATCAGATCATCAGTGCCAATCCCCTATTGGAGGCCTTTGGAAATGCCAAGACTGTCAGGAATGACAATTCCTCTCGCTTTGTGAGTGGTACATACATTGCAGGATCTAAAAGTCGTTATCGATTTTTTAGCCAATAATATCAGCTGTCTCATTATTGTGTTTGCATTTCACATCCTGGGACTGATCATGAAGGTGTTGCCCTGGAGGAAGTCCTGCTGAAGGAATGTGGCTTGCTTTGTAGTTGCTGAGAAATTAACAGGCAATTCACATATCAGTTTTACATAAAGATTTCAAATTCTTGTTTGTCTTTGGTAAGTTGTACACCAGTGCCAAGACTTTGAAGTGCTTCAGTAGCATCTTTTCATGTCTTCTAAACTTATCTCATTTTAAGAAAGCAGCTTGTAAATTGATGCATTTCACAGAAGGAAGCGGAGCTGTGCACATCAATAAATGCAAATAGCCAAAAGCTGGGATTCAGCTCTAGCAGTAGAATAGCATTTTCTAATGTACTTGAGGTTAGCAGACTAGCTTAGGAGGCACAGGACAGGCTGTACAGCACACAGATTTGTCCTTCAACACCTCTAGCATCAGTCCTCAACATTTGCCACATGAAGCAGCTGCTTCACTCCGCCTACTAAGAGGACTGGCCCTTTGTACAGAAATCATTTGTTTATTGAAACAGTTACCATATTGGCCCGAATATAAGCCACACCAGCAAATAAGCCACACCTTTAAAATTCAAAGGGAAAAAAGAAAAAAAAAAGACAATACCCAAATATAAGACGCTTCCTTAAAATTCCACAGGCACTTACACCCATAAATGGCAAATGTAGAAGAAAATCCTTCAGCGATATTGTAAAAGCCATTTTTTGTAAGGTTGTGAATTTAAGCCACACTTTAACTTTTCATGGTCGGGAAAAAAAGTGTGGCTTATATTCAGGCCAATACGGTATATCTCATCTTTTGGTTTTTCAATTGAGCCACCAAAGCAACTAACACCTTCCATTAAAAATAGAAACTTAACACAGAAATCAATGCCCCTTCCATCCAGAAACATAAGGAGCAATTCCAATAAACAAACAATAAAATGAAAAATCCATAATAGATCTAATCCTGGTAGTTGTGTTTTCTGAAAGGACCTGGATCTCTGTTGTGACTTTTTTTCTCTGTACTTTGCAGGGCAAATTCATTCGGATTCATTTTGGTGCCACTGGAAAGCTGGCCTCTGCAGATATTGAGACCTGTAAGTATCCTGATTGGAACACAGCCAGTCAAATATTAAACCGGGTTTACAAACATTAAATGTGAATCTTTGTTGCAGATCTGCTGGAAAAATCAAGAGTAACTTTTCAGCTGAAGGCTGAGAGAAGTTACCATATTTTCTATCAGATTCTCTCCAATAAGAAGCCTGAACTTATTGGTAAGAAGGATTCTCATTTATTTCCTTCCTGAATGTCTCAGATTATCTGGTAAAGCAGAAGAGGATCTTATGTTAGTTGCTCAACCAGAGCTACACAGAACTGGGTGGGGAGGGAGCGAGAGAGAATTGCTCAGAACCATTTACTCTCCTTCTGTATCTTAATCTAAGATGTTATGTGGCGATTATCAGACTCTTCTAATTTCATTTCAGAAATGCTTCTCATTACAACAAACCCTTATGACTATCCATTTATAAGCCAAGGGGAGATTTCAGTACAAAGCATAGATGACCAAGAGGAACTAATAGCTACAGATGTAAGTATAAGTGCTGCTGCTAATATAAATACTGAGTAACAATTTCAGCTAATTGCTGCATGAACTATCTTACAGACGGCTATAGACATCCTGGGCTTCACTGCTGAAGAGAGAGTTGGAATCTATAAACTAACTGGGGCAGTGATGCATTATGGGAACATGAAGTTTAAGCAGAAACCACGAGAGGAGCAGGCAGAGCCAGATGGCAGTGAAGGTAACAGTTCTCTGGCATCCACCATTAAAAAAAGCCAGTTTCCAGATCTCATTTGGGGGGGGTGGGGCGGAGAGAGAATTTTCACGTGAGGTGTGCAAAGCATCCTGCAAAGATTTCACATTAAAAGAGATTATATACAGTTCTTCCTCAGCTTTTGGCAATTAATCTGAATCGCTCTCCCTGTCATAATTTTAATGAGTAAATTACAATTGCAGCTACAACTTTAATTGTGACTATCCCATTCTCAAATGATTATTGCTTTCTGGCTGTCCTGAAAGAGTTCCATCCATATTTGCTTCTCATATGTTGTTTTGTAGAGGCTGACAAAGCAGCTTATCTGATGGGCCTGAATTCTTCAGATTTACTGAAAGCCCTATGCTTTCCCCGAGTGAAAGTGGGAAATGAATATGTGACCAAAGGTCAAACAGTGGACCAGGTGAGGACATGCATCAGATCAAAAACATTTATTAGCTTATGTGAGGGGCTCTTACTCAGGCAAGGTACTGGTACATTTCATCCTTTCAGTATGCTGCTTAGTAAGGATTTACAAGTATGGGGGGAAATCTGTTTTCTTCTGGTAACATCCATCCCAGCTAGATTAATGCCACTGGAGCACTATTCAGAAAAGGTCACACCAGCAGGGAATCGATAGTTTGGGATGGATAGAGTGGAACTGGTGAGATGAGACAACATGTACAGGACACCCAGTACCATCATCATCTTCTTTCAGGAAGCCCTGTGGCAAAGCAGCTTGTATTCCCCACCCCAACTTGGAAGGAGAAGTTTGAAGCAGAAAGATCAGATATTTAAGCTACTCACCTCTTGTGGTGGGTTTCTGAGCTGGGATCATTCAGTTTCCATCTTAACTAGCTAACACTATTATTCCTGGGTCATTCCATATCCTAGGCCAGACAGTGATTCATAGAATCACAGTTGGAAGGGACCACAAGGGTCTTCTAGTCCAACCCCCTGCAATGCAGGAATATTTTGCCCAACATGGGGCTCAAACCCACAATCCTGAGATTAACCATTTTATGCTATACCAATTGAGCTCTAACAACTTGTGCAGTGACTTGTTTCAGCAACACTGTTTAACTATGTAGTGGCCGCTAATTGTCTGGACTGTTGCCTGCAGGTGCATCATGCTGTCAATGCCCTTTCCAAATCTGTCTATGAAAAGCTATTTTTCTGGATGGTACTTCGCATCAACCAACAGCTGGATACAAAGCTGTCCAGGCAACACTTCATTGGGGTCTTAGATATTGCAGGCTTTGAAATCTTTGAGGTATGTGGACCCATTGCAACTTCTTGCCTCTCTTGTAACAGCCAAATTAACTGCCTAGGCTGAACTTGTTCCAGAAAGTCGGCTTATAAATATTTATATAAATATATTTTGCCTTGTGCACTCTGTCCCAGAGTATGGTTGTAATGGGTGATATGGGGAAGGGGAAGAATAATTTCCCATGCTCGCACCTTCTCTTCCCTTTTGGAGAGGGACAAGTTAATCCCTAACCTCAAAGAGGTACCATTAATTAAGAAAATATTCCACTATTCCCTTCTGCATAGCCCCCTTCTTTCCTCTAAAAATTGTGAAGAATTAATTCTAAAAACTGCTTACCTGTGTACCTTTGAAGCCAAAGCCATCATATTAACATAATATATTCTGGTGTTAGTTCAACAGCCTGGAGCAGCTCTGCATCAACTTCACCAATGAGAAACTGCAACAGTTTTTCAACCATCACATGTTTGTGCTGGAGCAAGAGGAGTACAAGAAAGAGGGGATTGAATGGACTTTCATAGACTTTGGAATGGATTTGGCTGCCTGCATTGAGCTTATTGAGAAGGTACATTTGCCATATTGTCTTGCAGTGGTGGACCTTGATTTTTGAGGCCCTGAAAGTTGAACTGTTATTGGGACCCCTTCACGACCAGCAACGAGGTCTGGGTAACCTCTTATCTTCTTCAATGGGGTTGTTCTATGACATATCTATATCTATATCTATATCTATATCTATATCTATATCTATATCTATATCTATATATATATCTATCTATGAACTACAACATCTCAGATTTTGCTTAAAATTGCTGTACTGTGACACTTCACCTTTACAACATCTGTGCTACTGACTCTCAAACTTTGGAATTGGTGAAATACATTCGGCAAAAAATTAATCCGTTTGAGTCATGTGACTGAAACTGGATCTACTAGACCCAATTTTTTCAAAGCAATGTGGAATAACGTCACTTCTGGGACCCCTCTGGGATTAGGGCCCCTGAAGCTTAAGCTTCATTAGTTTCATAGTAGATCTACCCCTGTTGCCTTGTAAATAAATACATATCTGAAATAAAACTTGTTTGTTTTTCCATTTAGCCAATGGGCATTTTCTCCATCCTGGAAGAGGAGTGCATGTTTCCTAAGGCAACTGACACTTCTTTCAAGAACAAGCTCTATGACCAGCATCTTGGAAAATCTGCTAATTTCCAGAAACCTAAGCCTGTCAAAGGCAAGCCTGAGGCCCACTTCTCCTTGGTCCACTATGCAGGGATTGTGGACTACAATATCGCTGGCTGGCTGGAGAAGAACAAAGACCCTTTGAATGAAACTGTTGTGGGACTCTATCAGAAATCATCCATTAAGATTCTGGCCAATCTTTATGCTGCCTTTGCTACTGTAGAGGATGGTATGTTATCTTCATCTATTACAGAGTGGTCCAACACATGGCCCTCAAGGCCTTTTCTGGCAACATTTGATGCCCCCCCCCCCCCGAGTTCTCATGCTGCTTTCCCAAAGCTGGCTAAGCAAGGTGCTGGACTTTGGGCAGAAGGTGTGAGGGTTCTGACAGGGTCCTAGAGTCCTCCCTCCTCCTTCCCAAAGCCTAGTTAGTGCTTTCCTAGCTTTGGGCAGGCAGTGTGAGGGCTCTAGAACCAAGCTAAAGCCTCCTCCCCAAAGCCTGGTGCCTCACTTAACCAGCTTTGGGAAGGCACTGTAAGGACTTGGGTGTGTGTGTCAAATTTTGGCCTCACTCCCCACCCCACCTCTGTGACAAGGCAGTGTGTGAACTGTGGGTTCCGTGTCCTTTGGCCCACTTGGTATGAAAATTTGGGCCACCCTGATCTATTATATTTGGCTTAAAACTGCGTGACCTCTTGCACTGACCATGGTTAGAAGGATGGCCAGAATGGCTGACCAGAAATATCGCCAATTGTACTTACGTCTTGCTTTGCAGCTGAAAGTGGTGGTGCTACTAAGAAGAAAGCTGCCAAGAAGAAGGGGTCTTCCTTCCAAACTGTTTCTGCACTTTTCAGGGTAAGGCTTGCAGGCATCCTCAGAAAGACAGGTGCCCCGCTGCAATAAATATATTTTTGTAGAAGCAAATCTCATTAATTGGATAGTCAATAGTTTGTATATGTGGTGCCATTAGCTCAAATGGTGGACGGCTTATAGAAGTGCCTAAGAGCATATATCACCCAGCGATGCATTTGACTTTGATCCTTTGTTGGAAACTGAATGCTGGACTACACTGATCATGCATCTGAGGTGGGTACATTATTTAAAACAACAACACACCCCAATAATTTTGCTTTTTTCATGTGATCGTCATCTACTTAAATTACAAAGGGATCAGAAAGTATAATAATTAGAAATGATAAAATAAACAATATTAAAGGTGTGCTTATGGGTATTAGGCTTGTATATAATAAGGTTTAGATCTTGGAGTGGGGGTAAGTACAGTAAATGTAACAAATAAGTTAATCTTATTTCCATTTTTGGGGAGCAGACCTTATTAGCCTACACATTTCATTTTTATTTCAGGGCATGTGGAAGAAGAAGAACATTTGTAAATAAATATAATATGGCTCTTTTTATCAGAATAATAACATTTTAACAGCATTTAATATAAATTTCCAAATTACAGGAAAATTTGAACAAACTGATGACCAACTTGCGGACAACTCACCCACATTTTGTGCGTTGCATCATCCCCAATGAAACTAAAACTCCAGGTAACTAAGACAATCTGACATCAATTTCCAGCAGGAGTTCAGTCGAGTATCAGGGAAAGCTGCTATTTAGGTTTTCTCTTCCACAGGTGCAATGGATCACAGGCTTGTTCTGCACCAGCTACGGTGTAATGGAGTGCTTGAAGGCATTCGAATCTGCAGGAAGGGATTTCCAAACAGAATCTTATATGGGGATTTTAAACAAAGGTCTCAGCTACATTTATTGTGATCTTCCTAATTTGCATTGAGGCAATTTGTTAGGAAAACACTGTCTAGAATTCTGGATAACAATGACACCTGTGTCTGCTTGAGCATCACTTTATATACTATAATTTAGATACAATGGCATTTTTTTTGCAGAAAATATGCTTTTTAATGCTGCCCTGCCCTCACTGTTTTTGCCTGGGGAACTTCCGTTTAGGATTTTGTACAATACAAATAAATATTTGGATAAAAAGTATCGCAGCCTCCTCAAATCTTGCTGCCTATTTATGGGCAGTTACCTAAGCTGTTTAGAAGTGTTTGCTAGTGGGAAAGAGCTTCTTCCTTCTCCACTGTTTAGAGCGCTAAAACCTGTTTGTGTTTAAATGGACAGATACCGCGTTCTGAATGCTAGTGCTATCCCAGAGGGCCAGTTTATGGACAGCAAGAAAGCCTGTGAGAAACTGCTGGGATCTATTGATATTGATCACACCCAGTACAAATTTGGACACACCAAAGTAAGCACTTCTCTGTGCTGAGAAGAGTACAAGCAGTGGCTCTACTTTGGCAGCGACTATACTTTGCCTTCTCTTTTTAGGTGTTTTTCAAAGCTGGGTTGCTGGGCCTTTTGGAAGAGATGAGAGATGAACGTCTAGCATTGCTCATCACTCGCACACAAGCTATGTGCAGAGGGTACCTCATGAGAACAGAATACCAAAAAATGGTGGAAAGAAGGTATAATGTTTCTCCCCAGGTTTACACCAGGGAGCTTCACTTTACTGGATGCAGAGCCTCCCCCTCCCACCCTTACCTTGATTCCCCAGAAGTGTTAGAGGAAAGATACCCTACAAATGATATTTTTGAAACACTCCTTAAAATTTCCACTTCTCCCACCCTCTCTGTGTTGTGCCTATGTAATCCTATCATGCTGCTATAATCTCCTTGGGCTATAGGAGCAGACCTCACCTCTTCTGTTATACATAGAAATGCTGGCAAACTGAAGCTAATTGCTTAAGCTGCAATCCCAACCTCACTTACCTGGCAGAAAGCACCAATGGACTTACTTCTAAGTAGATATGGTTGGGCTTGCACCAAAAGATATCTGCTACAGGTCTCTTGAAATTCTGTTAACTGTAGGTGCTAAATCAGATTTTTCAGAAGAGGGGTGATGAACACTATTTCACTCAAGTCAAGAGAGGAGTGGGCAACCTCAAGCTTATCTGACCCTCTCCACCCATCACTGGGCCTGCTTTGCATCCTTCTGAGTGTTTTTGCCTGCCTGGAATGTGCCCTTGAGCTTCAATTTGCTTTCCTGGGCGGAGAACAGGGTGTGTATGCAAAAACTAGCCTACTGCGCAATTGTAAAATTTTATTGCTCTATCTCAGGCATGTCTCAGGTAGATCGCGATCTGCTGGTAGATCACGGGGTGTTTCTGGTAGATCCTGGAGGATCTTTGGCCCCTCAGTGATCTCCATGCCAAAAAAAAAAGAAAAAGAAAGAAAGCTCCACAACTTTGTCTTTCTAAAAACAAAGCTCAAAAACTCTGGGTCCCCCCAAAAAAGCTCCACAACTTTGGCATTTCCAAAAAAGCTCAACAACTGTGTTCCATCCAATGAAAATAGGTAGATCACTGCCAGTTTTTTTATACTGTGAGTAGACTGCAGTCTATTGGGAGCTGGATGTCCCTGCTCTATCTAGTTTTGCCTCTGGCCCCATCCACCCTCTGGCATGTGGTCCCAGAAGGGAATGTAGCCGCTGGGCTTAAAAGGTTTCCCACCCCTGAGTTAAGGGAAATAAATCGTCAAGTAGTTGCATATTCATTTAATTATTTGCAGGCGAGCCTCTTGAAATTTTGCAGTTGAAGCCTCATTAAAGAGCTCCCGAGCTTTGCTTAGGAAAACTAACTTTCCGCAATGAGTAACTCTGTGAATTGGTTCCATCACAGGGAAGCTATCTTCACCATCCAGTACAACATTCGCTCGTTCATGAACGTCAAACACTGGCCATGGATGAAGCTGTTTTTCAAGATTAAGCCACTGCTGAGGAGTGCAGAGGCAGAGAAAGAATTCGCCAATATGAAAGAAGAGTTTAAAAAAACCAAAGAAGAACTTGCTAAATCTGAAGCCAAAAGGAAGGAACTGGAAGAGAAAATGGTCTCTTTGCTGCAGGAGAAAAATGACTTGCAGCTTCAAGTGCAGTCTGTGAGTAATTCACAAATATCTCCCCATGGTCAGTTTTAGGAAATGTGGTGCTCTAAGCAAATTATTAAATTATCACTATCTCATCAGGCTTTTCCCTCTCCCCATCAGTCAGCTGTCCCCAGTTGAGATCTCTAGCTTGCGTCAGCTGCTTCACAGCAAGCTCCCAGTAAGATCTGTACTCTGACATGCCGCTACTTACCCTGCTGCCCTTCACATCCATCTCAGGCTGTTCATGAGCTGCCTTTTTCCGTTATGGGGCTGTTTTGCCTCATGCTACGCTCCTTCCTATTGCTGTCATCTTGCATTTGGCCTGTTCTTCCTTTGTTTGCACCTGGCACCCTGGGCAGCAGATGACCAGTCACTTTTGCTGTAATTGAGAAGGGAAAGCCCTTCCATCATTTATTGCAGGAAAACTTGCTACAGCTAGGTAGTTGGATTGCCTATTGGCTGGATCCTTTTCAGATCCTTCCTTCCTTCCTTCAGAACAGTTACTTATGCTAAGTTTGAAGAATAGCCAGTTAAAGTCAAATGGTAACATGAGCAGTTGAAAAAGCTTACAAACATAGCCTTTATACTTACACTCACTCACTTTCTCACTCTCTCTCTCTCCCCCCCGCCCACAAACCCAGCAACCCACCCTGAATTATTCTCAGTAAACAAGAGACATTAAACAGCATACAGTCTGAGAGGTCATACTGGCACCACAAAACTCCTCCCTTCTTCTCTTGTATTGTATTTCCTTTTTGACTATATAGGTACAGCACAGATAACCCCATCTTGAACTAATGCTACAGTGTCACTTGCTATCTATCTATCTATCTATCTATCTATCTATCTATCTATCTCCCGGTATATATTTAAAGTGACCACCAAATCTTGAAATCAAACACAGAGATGGAAGAGAAGGCATAAATATAGTGGGAAGGTGGAACTGATTATGATGTTGGATCTGAATGGTCCATCTTGCAGAAAGATACACACTAATGGGCTGAGATGCAAAGACATGCTTAGGAATTTCTATGAGTTTGTGTCCAGCTGGTGTGATTTTTGTTTGTTTGTTTGTTCGTTCTCCAATCCCCTGGAACAGAAGACATCCCTCATACCATAACAGAAACTGTCTTTGAAAACCTTCCCTCCCCTTACCAGTTTTTAAAGCAGCATGTCATGTGTGGCTGTCATTTGACAAACACAAGTCTAAAGCCACCTTGATGACCTGGAATTGGTTTGGATCCCAGTTATGGAGATAAAATGTAGAGAAGTCAAAGCTTTTAGCTGCCTTTAAAGGGGGGGGGAGCAATTTAGAAAGTGGTATACTGTTATACTGCCTGATGGAGTTGAATGATAATATATATGATACATTGTTCTCTAACAAGGAAAGTGAAAGTTTGGCAGATGCTGAGGAGAGGTGTGACCAGCTGATCAAAACCAAAATCCAGCTGGAGGCAAAAATCAAGGAGTTGACTGAACGAGCGGAGGACGAAGAAGAGCTGAATGCAGAGCTGACAGCCAAGAAAAGGAAACTGGAAGATGAGTGCTCCGAACTGAAGAAAGATATTGATGACCTGGAGTTAACACTGGCTAAGGTTGAAAAAGAAAAGCATGCCACTGAAAACAAGGTAACCTTTAATATTGCCTTCAAAATGTCGTTTCCCGTACTATCTGCCAAGATATTCAATTGCCATATAAAGTTTTGAAAAATTGTCACACTTTTCACTCTCATGTTACAAACTGCTAATTTCTTATGTAAAATGGCTTCCCATCTCGTGCCTCTACCTCTGCAATTAAAGACAGTACGTTAAGGACAAACACAAAGAGTAAGCTTACAATGATCCTATCCTTACAATGTCTGCCCTTAATCGTCCTTAATCAGTATTTCAGCTGATCTCAACACCATCAACAATCTTATGCTGTGTTTTGTAGGTGAAGAACCTAACAGAAGAAATGGCAGTTTTGGATGAAACTATTGTGAAATTAACCAAGGAGAAGAAAGCCCTCCAAGAGGCCCATCAACAAGCTCTTGATGACCTACAAGCTGAAGAAGACAAAGTTAACACTCTCACTAAAGCGAAAACCAAGCTGGAGCAGCAAGTTGATGATGTGAGACAGCTAATCCCAGTCATTCTTGAACTTTGCATGATATTTTTTCATGATGACTTACTTGCTTTGGGCTGGATTGTTATAAGCTGCCTTGAGTTATAGCTATGTAAAAAGGTGGTATACAAATGAAAATGAAACATCTCTAAGTTAATGAAGTTTGTTTTTGAACCTGTTAATGTGCCCAAGTGGAACTTGCACATAACAGGATACAGGGTTCTCCTGCTAACATACAATTTCCCCCCTGAATAAGCTGGTTTAAAGGTCCCTGAGTTCAGAGGAGATCCTCTGGAAGCACATCATTAGCAAAACAATAGTGGATAAGGAACACTACCCTTAGTTTGTACTGATATTTGTGTGACGATGGGGAAGGAGCATTCTGAAGGGTGTTGGGTTTTTTTTGCCTCCCATCTTAGCTGGAGATACAGAAATGCTCACTTTCCTGCTAGCAAATGTCCATTCTTCATACTTTGTTAATATTGAGTTTAACCCAAGGAATTAGTAATTTCCCATTATAAAAATCTCTGAGACTGGCACTAACATTAAGCTTTTGTTGCAGCTGGAAGGCTCCTTGGAACAGGAAAAGAAAATCCGCATGGATCTTGAGAGAGCTAAGAGAAAGTTGGAAGGGGACTTGAAACTTGCCCAGGAATCCATAATGGATCTAGAAAATGATAAACAGCAGCTAGAAGAAAAGCTGAAGAAGTACGGAAATCGTAAATTGTAGTTGCATATTAAAATATGTTTATGGGGTAGCTTTTTAATTAAACTGCCTCTTCAATTCCTTTATAGGAAAGACTTTGAGTACAGTCAAATGCAAAGCAAAATTGAAGACGAGCAAACTTTGGGTATCCAGCTGCAGAAGAAAATCAAAGAACTTCAGGTATAAATTGTTTTCTTCATTCTAGCATCCCAGCTCATTTTCACTTGGTAAGAAGAATTAAAATGTTTGGTTATAAATAATCTTTGATATGTAAAGATGATATAATGAAACATGCCCTCCTTGTAAGACTGCTCCCAGACTTCAGCACACTTTTGTGCAGATCTACCACCCATTTGGGTAGATGCTGGTATATGTCCTTAGCATAGTAACTATGCTGAGTAAACAGGTTGTCTGGAAGCAGTGAAAGACAGAAGTTTAATAGGATTAATTTATTTCAAGTATATGTTTGGTAGGACACAACGAATTAGGACCACAGTGGCTCCATTTTCAAATTGTTGTTGTTTTGAATAGTTTGTTTTCAACAGCCTCATTACATTACATTACAATCTATTTTCAAATGTGTGTCTCTGAAGCAGCTCTTCTCTGTCACTATGCTTCTCATTTTCATCTATGACCAGTACAAACCCCAACCTGACTTTCTGCTAATATTTCCCAATATATCCCTGGTTTTGTCCTTTGCTCCTTGCAACTCTCACACCCTTGACGCCAAAAGTTTCCTGATCCTTTCTGCAAGGGTGTCACATCCCATTTTGCCCCTTGAGGTGAAATAGGAAGTGCTGCCCTGCTGCCGCACTGCACCTGCTGAAGCACCCTTTTCCTATGTCACTGGAAATTGGCACCAATGTCAGCATTGCTTCTCCACAAGCAGCAGTGGCGGTGTGGTGCCCATGAGGGTGCTGCTGCAAGGGCTTCCATCACCTGAGGCAGGGGCAGGCAACCTAAGGCCTGGGGGCCGGATGTGGCCCAACTGCCTTCTAAATCTGGCCTGCGGACGGTCCAGGAATCAGTGTGTTTTTACATGAGTAGAATGTGTCCTTTTATTTAAAATGCATCTCTGGGTTATTTGTGGGGCCTGCCTGGTGTTTTTACATGAGTAGAATGCATGCTTTTATTTAATATGCATCTCTGGGTTATTTGTGGGGCATAGGAATTCGTTCATTTCCCCCCCAAAATATAGTCCGGCCCCCCACAAGGTCTGAGGGACAGTGGACCGGCCTTCTGCTGAAAAAGTTTGCTCACCCCTGGCCTGAGGTGCCTGCTTCACTTCGCCTTATGGGCAGGCCAGCCCTGCTCTTCCATCAGCTTCACCCATTTTCCTCACTGCCCCTTTTACTTGGAATTTCCTCCCTGAAAATATAATGTCTCTTTTTCTCCAAATCCCGCCTTCCAAATTCTCCCGTTTTACAAAGCCTTTGCCTTAACCTCTTGAATTCTTATTCCCAACTGCAGCCTTGTCCAAGTACATGTAACTGCATTTTCTCACATTTATCTTAGCATCTTCCATCTCTCCACTGCTGATTTTAGATTGTGAGTTCCTGGTCTCTCCTTTCCTTATCTCTCGTTCTTTGATTTATGAACCTTTGTGAAGCAGCATCTTCACATAACCAACAACTTTATTATCAACTACTGGTAACCATAACCACTTCCTCCTCCTCCTCCTGTGTAGGCTCGTATTGAGGAACTGGAAGAGGAGATTGAGTCTGAGAGGGCAACTCGGGGGAAGGCAGAAAAGCAGCGGGCTGAATTGGCACGTGAACTAGAGGAAATCAGCGAGAGGCTTGAAGAAGCTGGAGGGGCTACTTCGGCCCAGATTGAAATTAACAAGAAGCGGGAAGCAGAATTCCAGAAAATGAGGCGTGACCTGGAGGAATCTGCCCTGCAGCATGAAGCTACAGTTGCAACTCTCCGTAAGAAGCATGCTGATAGTACAGCGGAGCTTGGGGAGCAAATTGATAACCTGCAACGTGTCAAACAAAAGTTGGAGAAGGAAAAGAGTGAGTGCAAAATGGAGATTGATGACCTGGCCAGCAATCTTGAGTCCGTTACCAAGTCTAAGGTATTTGAAAGTAAATTTGAGTAGTTCTTCACAGTCCAGACTACAAAATGTACATTCTTATCTGTGAACAAAAAGAAGAAATGTATCTCAAATATTCTGAAAAGGTGATCTTTTGCCCAGCAAGGTCTTTGAAGCAGATGATTTTTGGGCAGAAACATATAAGCCCTAGAAGGAGGCACTTGAACCAAAACTCATTGGGCTAATTTAATAATAAACATTGATCCATTTCAGCATTTTTGAGATGTATTTTTCTTTGTTCACAATAAATTCTTCTTTTTGTGTGTGTTTCCTTTTGACTTTCTCAGTAAACACACATACATGACTGACTGCATAATGTATCCTGTTTCATTTCACTTCTTACTACCACAGGCTAATTTAGAGAAAATGTGTCGTACATTAGAGGACCAGCTCAGTGAAATAAAGGCCAAATCTGAGGAAAACCAGAGATCAGTGACTGATCTAACAACACAGAAAGCCCGTCTGCAGGCTGAGTCAGGTAAGGAGGAAAACAGTGGGGATGCAAGATGCAAACAAGGGCCATTCCAGGGTTTTCTTTCCATCATTTGCTTCAAGGTGAACGGTTTTTATTATTTATGTTTTGTGGAATCTATGCAATGTCTCATGTTCCTGCAACACATTTTTAGTCTGTGCTTCTGAGGTTAGCTTTCAGAAGCACCAATAAAAAACACAAACCAGGCTATCATGGGGCTAAACTGGTTTAAATTCAAGTATTCTGCTGGCAGAGCACTGAGGTGATAATCTGGTGGTTGAGTGTGGAGGTAGATTTTCATTTTTTAAAGAGTATTCTTGGAACTTCAGTCTAGCTTGTTGCTGAAGTAACAAGGGAAGCTGAATAACCGGTGCAATGGCAGATGAAGAGAAAACAAAATGTTAGACTAAACCTCTGAATCCATATTGTGAATGTCAGGCTGAGCCCTGGAACATGCGGGCTAATAAAACGCGGAAGGGAGTTCATCTGATGGCCATTTGTATGTTGCACAAAAGAGGGAACACAAATGACTTGCGCTTCTTCATTTTGTGCTTCTGGTGCAACTTGCAAGCTGCTCGTTAGTGAGAAATGAGCTGCACCCACACTTCGCTCACAACTATCTCACCATGGGAGCCGCTATGCACACTTCTGCTTTGTAAGATGCACTGAACGTTAAAAAAAGAGGCATTCAAAACTGTCTCCAGCAAATTCAGAGTGAATTTCAAGCATCACTGAGCAGCAAACCCCAAGTCCAGTATAATAGGGATTAGACTTTTATGTTGGAGTGTACATGCAGGTCCTGTTTTACGACCCCAATGCATTTCCTGGAAATCGTTAGGTGTGTCTATATATAACGAGTCCACAATTTCCATTGTTTCCTATGGAAATATTTCTAACGCCGGAATTGTCTGATACCTTCCCCACCTCCATGGTTTCTTCTTGAAATGGCTGCAACTCATCAGCAAAAAAGAGACAGAGGGAAAAACTGATTTGTCCTCTCTCTCCTGCTCCCTGACTTGTCCTGTTTCCCCTGCTCTCTGATTTATCCAGTCTTGCTTCCCACTCTCTGTGGTTTCTGCTTGAAAATGGCTGCTGCCAGCCAACAAAACACAAAAAACCAAGGAAGTGGGCTGTTTGGATAAGTGAATCTGTGGTGCATATAGCAAGGTTTGGGCATAATTTTGAAGTGCGGATGGTGGGACCTGTGTGTATTTTCTAGGAAGGTTCACGCCCTGCTACTTATGGACCAGCAGATCTGTGAAAGGAAGATTGTTGCGGGGGGATAATTCTTAAAGGCATATGGTTAATAGAGCTCACACTGTGAATTAAGCCTGGGAGATATGGAATCACACCTAAGGTTATAGTGAACATCACCGCTATTAGCAAATTAAGAATTTGTCTTCTTTGGTTACAGGTGAACTGGCACGTCAACTTGAGGAAAGGGAGAGCATAATATCCCAGCTTTCCAGAAGCAAGCAAGCATTTACTCAGCAAATAGAAGAACTAAAGAGGCACCTGGAGGAAGAGACCAAGGTATTCATAAGTCTATACTGCTGGGGAACATTTCTCTTGATTCATTAAAAGGAATACATTAACATAGGAAGAATTTAATTTAAATTTTCAACACTTTAGTGGACACATCTGTCAGCAGGATCTCAACCCTTCCAATATGCAACACAACTGTACCATGATGAGCTGTCATTGGAACTATGTATAAAAGTTGAGAGGGGATGTATCTGCTAATGGACTCAGCGGAAACCAAGACTGCATCATGCGAATTAATTATATCTCATGCTATCAGGCTAGGTCTACAGATGCACTGGGAATAACAGCACAATCCTATACAACTACTGAGTAGTAAATGGCATTCAGTTTGGTGGAGAAAATGGGTTTGGATTACAGCCCAAGACTCATTGAACTCACTCCTTAGCAGATATGCACAGAATTGTGCTCAAGTTTTTAATTTTCCTCATATCTGTCAAACAAAATACCAACTCACTATTTGTGAATATCAAGGTACCTTTAAAAAAAAAATCTAAACATTTCAGGTGTAAGTATTACTGGCATAAACAAATATTTTAACTCACTCCAGATCACTATGATACTTTCTTGTATGACACTGTCACAATTAGGTAGCCTACCACATATTACAGCAGTGAGTCTGCTGGTCTTGCAGGCGACATGATTAATTTACAGTAATCCAAGACTTGGAATACTTTCTTGGGCACTCATAAGTCTCTTCAGTACTGTAAACTGCTTGAGTTTTGTGTGAATAAAGTAGCCTCTTGCTTCATCCTGACTTCTGTCAGGATAGCTTTACTCTGAGATTATACATGCAAAACACCACAGGCATTGTTCCAAGAGCACCAATGTAAGAATCTATGGAATGAATTCAGTTATAAATGGATGCATGGTTTACGGTTCTTAGGCAAAGAATGCACTGGCTCATGCCTTACAATCTGCTCGCCATGACTGTGACTTGCTCCGGGAACAATATGAAGAGGAACAAGAAGCAAAGAGTGAACTCCAACGTGCCCTGTCTAAAGCCAACAGTGAAGTGGCCCAGTGGAGAACCAAATATGAGACAGATGCCATTCAACGCACAGAGGAACTGGAAGAGGCCAAGTAAGTGTTGGGGGTGAGAAGTGGCATGCTAATAAGCCATTTTCACACATTACATTCAACCACATTTTATGTTCATAACAGTAACCTATCCATGTGGGGAGAACACTACAATCTGGGCACTTGGTTCCTCATTCTTAGATGAAGGGACAGACATCCATGATCTTCAGCATATATTTCAGCACGGTGGAAATCATGAAAGTGCTGGGATTTATAGATGACAGTACCCATATGACAGGATTTTAGTCCAATTAATTCTGTCACATTAAAGAATAAACTAGAATTTGACAACATAACTTTCTGATTAAAATCTGACACCCCACCCAAAATCCAGGAGGACTCACATTTTAATTAATGATGTTGCCAAAATGCATAATAACCTGATTCAGAATATGAATTTACTTGGACTTGCCTATCTGTTCTACAAGCATGCAGGTGGCTAAGATACTGTAAACTATACTGTGCTACTAAGGGCAACCTTAGTAGTTAAAGGGGCATCATCATTACAATCTGACTTCTTTAAGGAAAAAGCTTGCTCAGAGGCTTCAAGAAGCTGAAGAACAAGTTGAAGCTGTGAATTCCAAGTGTGCTTCCCTGGAGAAAACAAAGCAAAGGCTGCAATGTGAAGTGGAAGACATGATGGTGGACGTTGAGAGAGCAAATGCACTAGCAGCTGCTCTGGATAAGAAGCAAAGGAATTTTGACAAGGTGTGTTTCTCCTCTATAGTATCAGCCCTTAGATGAGAAATAGGCACTCTTCGTCTCAAACTAGCAGATACACTCCACTTGCTTCTGAATTTGAATCTGACTCTCACTTCTACCTACTACTTTACTACTACTACTAATATAATAATAATAATAATAATAATAATAATAATAATAATAATAATAAATAAATAAATAAATAATAATAATAAATTTATTACTTATACCCTGCCCACTCTGGGAGGCTTCCAACAGGAGATTAAAAATACATTAAAACATCAGTCATTAAAAAAAAAACTTCCCTAAACAGGGCTGCCTTCAGATGTCTTCTAAACGTCAGATAGTTGTTTATTCCTTTGACATCTGATGGGAGGGTGTTCCACAGGGCAGGAGCCACTACCAAGAAGGCCCTCTGCCTGGTTCCCTGTAACTTTACTTCTTGTAGTGAGGGTACCGCCAGAAGGCCCTTGGCACTGGACCTCAGTGTCCAGGCCAAACAATGGGGGTAGAGACGCTCCTTCAGGTATACTGAAATATTTAAGCCCATTCTCAGAGGGACACCAGCAATTTGGCCCAGATTTGAGGAATGAGGGCACCATGCAGAGCCCATAGCCTGTGACAGAAGGATCTTACAAATGTGTGTCTGTATTTGTTTATTAATGGGAAACCATTCAGTTTCCTGATTCAGGGTTGCATCACCCCTGTACTTATGCCCAGCATGCTTGACATGATTTTGGGCTGTATGACTACTTTGCTATTGGGAATTGGTTTGTGATGGCTGTTTCACAATTGTGTTAAGATCCCAACTTTCTTTTATCATGAAACTTGAGGCGGCACATATAGAGTACCTAGGAGTTGTTCCATCCAGGCATGAACTAGAGTTGCTGCTTAACTTTAACAAGGTAGATGTGTCATGTGCTTTCTGACCATGCGTGTCACATATTGATGTTGCCATGATTTAGGGACATGTGCCCTGACCTTCTGCTCTGAGATCAAGAGTGCTATTGCGTGTTTGGGAAAAAGATTGTCAGAGAATTGCTGGGGGACAGAGAGTGGTGGCTGGTGGAATTGCAGTGTATAGTTTTATCAGCCAAGGCTTCCTGTTTCTTTGTTTGGCACAGAAAATAAAGAGGTAGAGAAACCCCCTGTGAACTGTCACTGCCTTCTTCCCAGTGATGAACAGAACTGTTACTGAGAAGACTAGTTTAGCAAAGAAAAATCATAGGCAAATAAAACGGCAACTAACTAACTAAAACACAATGGATGTTAAGATTTTGGCAGAATGGAAGACCAAGTATGAGGAGAGCCAGTCAGAGCTAGAAGGTTCCTTAAAGGAGTCACGCTCCTTGAGCACTGAACTTTTCAAAATGAAGAATGCTTATGAGGAGACACTAGATCAGCTGGAAACAATCAAGCGAGAAAACAAGAACCTACAGCGTAAGTTTCCTTTTTTGGCCTTCTTTCTATTTGTTGGTTATTTTGACTCTAGCAATGATAATTCACAGCGCAGAGGGTCTCAGGGATATGCAGGGAATGCTGACTTTTCTCTGTGCCTTTAGCAGTGGTACAACAAGCAGAAAGATCCTCATCATTGCACCTCCATATCATGGAAGCTGCACTGATTCAGAAACTGTCCATCTTTGTGCAGAACTGTGACCAAAAATCAAGAGAAGACTAGAGCAGGTGTCAGATCATAGCACATTCTAGCCTTTAAGCCTTTTAGGACTTTAAGAAAATATTAGAATTAAAAGCGTTCAGAATTTCCAGATCTCTGCACATTCTCATTCTCATCCTGTGATGAGAAGGCAAGGCTAACTTGATATCACTAATGGCAGTTTTCAGAATTGACTGCCCCACACAAATCTCATAAATGTCCTTAGCAAGTATTGGCAACAGCAATTGGTTGGTTCAATTTCACACAATGCATTTTTGTCCATGTAAGCAGTTCCAACTTTCTCTGGTAGCTGGTGGTAATCACAGGTAAAACTGACAGAATTTCCTAGGTTTGGGGGGGAAAAAAGAATTTATGATGGCTCATGCATCATATATGGGAGCATTTGGGATATCTTTCATAATAAAAAATGAGTTTTGTGAACTGTTCTGAAGCAGACAGATGAAGGCACAAGTATCACCTCTCTTTGCAGAGCAGCTCTTTGCACATGTGTGTGTGTTTCTAGTTCTGGAGGCATTTCACCCTTTATCATCTGTGTGTATGTTTAATTCTTCCTAGAGGAAATAGCTGATCTTACAGAACAAATTAGTCAAAGTGGCAAAATTATACATGAACTTGAGAAGGCCAAGAAGCAGATAGAAGTGGAGAAATCTGATATGCAGATGGCTCTAGAGGAAGCGGAGGTAAGATGCCAAAAAGTAGTAGGAAAGAAAGTACAAATGGCAAATAATTAGGTTTTTATAAAAGTCTTTTGGAGTGTGGTAGTTGGAGATGCTCATTTGTTGCATCGGATTCCCACAAACCACATACCAAGCTGAGCTTGGTCCACCAACGATTTGTTTGCCAGATGGTCATCATGGCATGGTGGACATTGTTTAAGCTAAAGGGCAATATGGATATAGGATTCTCTGAAGTCACATCACACCTAATCTTTGAGGAAACTTCTACAGTGACTTCCACATTGGTGTTAAATTGTTAACAGATATTAGTTAACTATGTTTTACTACACTGTGGTAAGATCAAGAAGGAGAAAAGTAATCTAAGTTTCCTCCAATCACAAATCTCTGTGCTGCTTTATTTCTCCAACATTTCCTCAATAGGGTGCTCTTGAACATGAGGAAGCCAAAATCCTTCGCATTCAGCTTGAGTTGACTCAGGTGAGATCCGAGATCGATAGAAAGATTGCTGAGAAAGATGAAGAAATTGATCAGCTGAAGAGGAACCACCAAAGAACAGTGGACACAATGCAAAGTGCCTTGGATGCAGAAATACGGAGCAGGAATGAAGCTGTGAGGATTAAGAAGAAGATGGAGGGAGATTTAAATGAAATGGAGATCCAGCTGAGCCATGCAAACCGTCTTGCAGCTGAGACACAGAAACACCTCAGGAATGTCCAAGGGCAGCTTAAGGTACTTATCTTTCCAATATATCTTTTATATCAAGAGTGGTTAATCTGTGGCCTTCCATATGTTGTTGGATTACAGCTCCCATTGTCCTTGACCACTGGTCATGTTGGCTAGGGCTGATGGGCAGTGGAGTCCAACAACATCCTGGAGGGTCATATGTTAACCACTATCGCTTTATATGAATAATAGAAATTCAGTTCTGCTAAACACTTTCCCCTGTTGTGTTTAGGACACACAGCTACATTTGGATGATGCCCTCCGAGGCCAAGAAGATCTGAAAGAGCAAGTGGCTATGATTGAGCGCAGAGCTAATCTGATGCAGGCTGAGATTGAGGAGCTCCGGGCAGCTCTGGAACAGACAGAGAGGGGCAGGAAGTTAGCTGAACAAGAGCTTCTAGATGCAAATGAACGCGTGCAACTTCTTCACACGCAAGTATGGGCTACAGTTGTCACTATAACAACAAAACTTGCCATGCTACATTAGTTCAAATGTCCATCTAATCTCACATTCGATGTCTGACCGTGGCCACTGACATGCTCTATAGTGGTAAACAGAGACATGCTGCCTCCAAGTATGAGGAGGAATAATTGCTTAATCATTACTAGAAACTGCAGCATAAGAGACACTAAAACATCCTCACTGTGTCTTTTGTTTAGAACACCAGCCTTATTAACACAAAGAAGAAGCTGGAAATTGATGTTTCTCAACTTCAAAGTGAAGTGGAAGATGCCATTAAAGAGGCCAGAAATGCAGAGGAGAAGGCAAAGAAAGCCATCACAGATGTAAGAGCTTCTTTTCTCTTTCAGTGGTTGCCACAAAACCTTGCTGTTATCTATAACAATTTTTGTTGGCTCATGGGCACTTGATCACAGTGATCATTCTAGAGCTGTCCAGTCCTTCTGTGAGTGGCTAACAGTTTTTTCCTTCAGTATGCCTTCACAAACTGATAGGAGGAGGAAGAAGAGCCTCTATTCCTTCAAAGTGCGCCTCTAAAGGGGCATGCGTGAAAGTGTTGCCTCAGGTGGCTTCAACCCTTATATACCTTGGAACAAATAGGGAAGGGCATTAATACAGTCTCCAGGCACTACCAGTTCCCCCAGCCCCAGTTGCTATGCTCCATTCATCTATTTCCCCTAAAGGAACAAAGCTCAGTTTCACAAGATGGCCTGCTTAAAACCCTGGTCTTTTTGCTAGCATGCTATCATTTGCAAACAGTTGCGTGCATTTTCCCCATCACTGAGTTTCCATGCCATCCCTGTTGAACGTTTGCCTGCCATGCAGCTGTTGAAGCGCAGAGCCTTTGCAAGAGAAAAAACAGTGGCAAACAACTCTATGTAGCCCATCATACAAGCGATGAATCTAAATATGTTTTGCACAAAATGTCCTTCAGTCACACAGCTAGGGCCATATGTGAGTCATTCTTCTATGACCCCAATCCCTGTGGGCTGGGGAAATGGCGTAACCAGGTGGACTGCTGATTTCAGGTGAAGGACATACATGATCAGCTTTTTCTTCTTTTTACATGATCACAACATTTCACATGCAGACCTCTACCCCAAGCAATGCCCTCACAGGAAAGCAGATCTCATGTGGTTGTGTCTGATGGGTGATACACAAACATTATGAATTTGGTTCCAATTCATGAATGCTTATGTCTTAATGAGTTAGCCTTTAAGGTGCCATAAGATTCTTTGCTGTGCCTTCTGCAACCAACTGACATGGCTGCCTCTCCAAGAACTATGAAATGTGTTATTCATATAGTGTTGTGTGAAGTCCTTCTCTGCACCATGCCAGTGATACTGGAAATTCATAAGTGTTTCCATTCAATGTTATATAATGAGCCCAGCACCTTTGTTAATAGTTTGAATGTTAATTCATTCATTGGGATGGCTTACCTATTGAGGTGGTCCCAGCAGGCCATTTCTGGTGGTCACAAGTTGATCTTTCAAACTCTGCTGAGCTTCTGTCCTTTGCTCCGAGTGTACCTGTTGACTGGGGTCTACTGTTTGTATGTCAAGGCGGCCATGATGGCAGAGGAGCTGAAGAAAGAACAAGACACTAGCGCTCACCTGGAGAGAATGAAAAAGAACCTGGATCAGACAGTGAAGGATCTGCAGCTTCGGCTGGATGAAGCAGAACAACTTGCTCTGAAAGGAGGGAAGAAGCAGATCCAGAAAATGGAGGCCAGGGTAAACACTGGGGTTGGGAGCTGGTGGCAAGCACCAGAGTTCTCCATAGGTCAGAGGACCCTATATCAGAGTTGCTAAGGAAATTAATGTTTTGCTTGACCTCCTAGATCCGAGAACTAGAGTCTGAACTAGAGGGGGAGCAGAAGCGAGCCACAGAAGCCATTAAAGGTATTCGCAAGTATGAACGGCGAGTCAAAGAGCTGACTTTCCAGGTAAGAGGGAAAGGACGGAGCCAGTGCTTCCCAATACTTCTTTGACAACTTACGTATCACCTAATCAGGTGCCACTTTTCTAGGGTGAAGAGGACAGGAAGAATGTGATAAGGCTACAGGACTTGGTGGATAAGCTTCAGCTGAAGGTCAAATCCTACAAGAGACAAGCAGAGGAGGCTGTGAGTTATTTGAAAGACACAAGCTTCATTTTTGGTCATTTGGTACAAAATGCATAAGGTCTCAGCTTTGACATCAGAGGTATGACTTAGGGTTTTTGTGTGCTATTGCTTTCTGATTATAGGACCAACAGGCCAACGTCCACCTCTCCAAATTCAGGAAAACGCAACATGAGCTGGAAGAGGCAGAGGAAAGGGCTGATATTGCTGAGTCTCAGGTCAATAAGCTTCGGGCAAAGACCAGGGAAGTTTCTACCACAAAGGTAAGTGCCTCCACAGACCAGATGCCAAATAATTTGTCCCTCCTGAATGATGCGACTGTGTTTTTACAAATCCCTGCTGCAACAGTGGATGTATGAAAAGGAATCTGAGCATCCAGCAAGGAGCCATTAAGAATGCTGCACAGAGTGGAAGAAGCAACACACTTAATAGCTCTGGGTTCAAATTCGCTGTGGCTTCAGCATCAGTGAAGCCAATGGAATTAGGCAAGGAGAGAGTGTGGCTTCAGGCTACAGTGTATTGATAAGAGGCTTATTCAGAAAACCAAAGTGCCCCCTTGCTTTTGCAGGAGTTAGTCTTGTAAAACCCCAGTTCAAAGACACAAGTAAGCCAGGGATAGTCAACATGGTGTCCCCCAGATGTTGTTGAACTACAACTTCCATCAGCCCCAGCAAGCACAGCCATTGGTGAGGGATGATGGGAGTTGTAGTCCACCAATGTGGAGGACACCACATTGGCTAACCCTGATTTAAGCCCTAGTCACCCAAACTTGCACAAATGGTCAGGTCCCACATCCACTAAATCTGCTCCAGAGGGTTGGGAGTCCCTCAGAGCAGATTTAGAGGAGAGCCTGGGGAATTGCAAGTAGAAGGAGCTTCCTTTCCTCTTCCATTGATAGAAGCCTTACCATTAGCTGAGTGGCACTGTTGAATTCAAATATATTTGACCTTCATTTATTTAGACCATTTGCACCCCCCTCTTCAGCCAAAGAGGCTTCTTGAGTATTCTTAATCTTTGTTGGAAGCCCAGAGTGGCTGGGGAAACCCAGCCAGATGGGCGGGATACAAATAATAAATTATTATTATTATTATTATTATTATTATTGAGTGGCTTACATACAATGAATTTAAACAAGACAGTCTGGTTACAATATAAAAAGTGCTACAGACATGGGAAAAGGAACAGGCAGGGAAGAGGGAAAAAGCAAACTCAGGTGCCAATTGTTCAACAGTTGTTCTTGTGATGACAGCTGGCTGAGAAGCAACTCAGGGCCACGAGTGCCTCATGGAGCTGGACTTTGGGAAAGGCAAATGACTTTGCTTCTCATCTTTCCTACTAAGGAAGCCTGATAGAATGTCTTCTATCATTCTGCCACTTGATAAAGAGGAGGCCTGGTGGAGCTGGTTTTTCAGCAGTGCTGATGGCGTGAGCCCTGCTTCCCATTTCTCAAGAAGATAGTGGCTGAAACAGCACATTGTTCTCCTTGCATTTTAACAAGTACTGAGTTTGTTTGTTTTGTTTGTGGCAGGTAATCATAGAAAGTGAAGAGTAAATCTACTGCAGGACAGAAGAAGCTTGGAATGTATGCAAAATGCATATATGTCCCCATGATGTTGCTTGAAATTGTAGTAAGCCTGTGATCTTTCCTCAATAGCCCTAATAGAAAATAAATTTTGCTTTGCTTAAAGACTTGGTGAGTTTTGTTCTTTGTGTTGTAATCTGCAGACATAATAAAAAGTGAAAGTGGTTGCAATGCTGATACCTCAGGAGTTGCTTGGTAGATGCTACTTGCTATATTTCTTCTTTACCTAAGAGGCAGCAGCTAGCCACTGTCTATGAGGACACATCTGGATTATGTCCCTATGGTGTTTGCTTACCAGCCAATGATACCAGTGATACTGCAGTGATGGGCGAGGTTACTTATCTTGCTTCTTACCTATATTCTGGGCAAACAGCCGAAGGCTACAATTTCAGCCAAGCAACAGCCAGAGGTTTTTATGCACAAAAAATACACATGCCTTTCCCGTCATATAAGCAAGAGACTCCATCTCACAGTTCAAGGACACTTCCAGACAGGCAAAAGTGAAGGAAGGAGGGCGAGTTGTGTTGCCTGGGGGAAGGGCATCTCAAGGGCCAGATAGAAAAGCATGGAGGAACTGCATTTGGGGCCCCAGACTTGAGACTCCCAATCCCTTCCTTCAACATATCACAACTGTTCATTGAAGTGTGACTTCTGGTGGCTGAAAAAGGAAATTGCCAAATGCAGTGTTTGCACACAAGGGCATGGACAATCTGTAGACTGTCAGTATTTTGCAATAGGGGTTCATTTGTATTAGTCACTTTTTTTATTTAAAAAATGACACTCAAAGCGACTCACAAACACAAACACAAAAAAAATTAATGGAAAGGATAAAAACAAAACAGGGATAAATCAGTCTAAAATGCACAAGTAATATATTGTTAGGAACGCGGGGGGCGCTGTGGGTAAAAGCCTCAGCACCTAGGGCTTGCCGATCGAAAGGTCGGCGGTTCGAATCCCCGCGGCAGGGTGTGCTCCCGTTGCTCGGTCCCAGCGCCTGCCAACCTAGCAGTTCGAAAGCACCCCCGGGTGCAAGTAGATAAATAGGGACCACTTACTAGCGGGAAGGTAAACGGCATTTCCGTGTGCTGCGCTGGCTCGCCAGATGCAGCTTCGTCACGTTGGCCACGTGACCCGGAAGTGTCTCCGGACAGCGCTGGCCCCCTGTCTCTTAAGTGAGATGGGCGCACAACCCTAGAGTCTGTCAAGACTGGCCCATACGGGCAGGGGTACCTTTACCTTTAATATATTGTTGCTCACTTATACAGGGTTCAGTTTCCTTGGAATGAGAGACAGTGGAGACTGTGGTGCATTTATAATATATGGTTTATTTACACACATATGTAACCTGAGCATTAACACCCCAAAAGGGTCTTGCTTCTCCCAAAGCCATAGTCTTGTGAACCACCCTGGGATCTTCGGATGAAGGGCAATATACAAGTTTAATAAATAACAACAGTAAGAGAAATCAAGCATTCCAGTTACTCAACTTGCCACTTCCAGTGTCTAGCTTCTTGCTCACATAGCTCAACTCCCAACTCTGATCTTTGTCTTTCTAACTAACAGTGAGTTGAGGGAGGCCCACCCATTTTCAGTCTGGCACAGCACCAGTTCCTTTGTTATCTTAATAGCCCATACCTAGAGGGCCATTATCTCACCAGGAAGCTAGCCTGGCTATTCCAGCAATCGAATCTGTGATGGATCCAGGAATTAGACGGGGGCTCAGGCATACAGCTTACCCTCACAAACTCATAACAATGTATAAAAAACAAGTAAGTGAAGCAATGCAGCACAGCAGGAAACAATCCTGCCTACATAAAAACTTAACATGCATGCAGCTTCACAGCTAGCCCTAGAAAAGGCAGACCCATGCCATGCCTTCAACACCTCTGAGAAACAGCTCCTTCAGGTGAGATCAGATTCTTTTTTTTAAATAGCATGCCCTAAACTTAATGTTGAAATGCACTGGCTTCTATATAGAAGAAAATACTTTTTTCTAGGGAACAGATGGGAGGACAAATGTGAATGACTGTCCTCTAGCAACGGCTACAGGCCACATAAAATGTTTTGCAGAAGTTCCCCAACTAGTCATATTGCAAGAAAAGCTTTACTGTTTCTAACACAGAGGCTACTGACAACAGATTGTTAAATTATGAACATACTAGGAACTCTAAACTTCCATCTCCATCCTTCTGTCAAGCTTTCTTACAGCAGTTCAGTTCTTAGTGGTGTGGGAAATCCATTGAAGTAGGGCTCCCTCTTCCCAAAGAGGCCATTCTTGTGTCACTTCCATTGCAGCCATAAAGCATGGTGCCCATATAACCAGTACTCCATATCACTATCTCCCACCATGAGTCCCCACATCCTGTCCCCCAGCATAAGGCTGCCCAGAATGTGGAATGAGGGTGTGAAGATTCATAATATGTTTGTCACTATCTAGGCAGTTGGCATGTCACAACAAGTTTCTAACTCCCCAAACCCCATTCTGGTGCTCCCAACCCTTTTGTTAGCAAAGCTGAAGATAGGGCACAGAGCTCAACTCCCCTCTACATCTGTCTGTGGCATTATATCTTCGTAAATCATTAAAACAGTCCTCGTCACTGATGGCTGAACTGTGATAATATGAGAAGAAAACAGTATCACTTAGGGTGGAGCCTCAATGCAGCTTGGAATCTCTGCACAAATATATGCTGGGAAACAAGAGTCTGAGAGTGAAAGCTGACACACTTGACAAGGTCCAGATGCCATCTCACTTAGGAAGGACATGTGCTTCTTCCAAAGTCTAACTATAGACAGTCTTAGAAGATTCTTGCTGTGGTTACATGCTCACTTAATAAACATGCAAGGCATTCCACAGGGCCGAGATTGCCCACAGTATCCTGTTAAAAAGGACCATGATATCATGGAAGCATTGACAGCTGTACGAGATTTTAAAATGGTGGACCCTATTCATATTCCAGCAGGCTTATTGCTACTTGCACCAATTGAAATTAGGGGTTATTTCAGATGCCACAATTCCCCCCGCCCCTGAGGTTATTGCGTTTTTCAGCCTAATGCAGTCTGCCTGTAAACAGCTTACAGTATTTGCAATAAATGTGAAACAACCATTCTGTCTGAAGTGGGTAGGCATTATTGTCCTAATTTATGGCTTCTTGATACTGCGCAATAAAAAGCAATATTGAGAAGAACAGAATAAAAAATATGGAGTAGGAATAAAGTTGGCAATACTTTTCTGGGTTGGATCATTTGCCATTAATAACTGTATAATAAGGCAAATTGCAGCAGGTGAAGTTTTCCCAGCATGCAGACACAGTAATGGTTTATTTGCTGAAATCCTGCCTGTCATGCAGCTGTAAAAAAGCAATGTAGCTTTCCAAGAATAAAGGTGGCAACTAATTAGGAACAACTTTGGTTGTGTTGTTCATACAATGTCAGATAGTCAGAATAAACTGCAGTGGACATCAGTAGGATTGTACTGAAATATATCCAAAACATAGATATGCTTGTTTTCCAGTACATGAGAGAATATTGCTTTATAATGGCAGAGAAAGCAAAGGTGTGTTCTAGATAGAGGATGCCGTATTGGCTTGATCAAATAAGACAGTTATTTATATTGTGCAAAGGAATGTATAGGATTCATTCTGAGTATTTCTATGCCCATGTTACTCCTTGCTCTTCAGCTTCTAAATATGAAATGCACCTTGTATTAGTATATGTTACTGGACGTTTTCTTCTTAAAACTGGGCAAGGGCTGCAGGATATATTACAAATCCCAGCAAAGTTGGCATGGAGACAGGTATCTGTATGCTCAGAACTATTTTGATTAAGGCTCTTGAGAGACAGAAGACTGGATAAGTCAAGTGTGAAACGAGTTACTGTCTTTCATAGCCTCTATCATTTACCATCTCTTTCTTGCTGTTTCTGTACTAATCATATTCAAAACAGAACAGCTTTAAAATTCACAAACTGCACCCTGAACTAAGCTTGGGAACAAACTGAAAACCAATGAAGTTGTTCCAAAATATGTATCATATGTTTACAGTATTCTCGAAGCTACAAACATGAGTCTGACCAAACTGCGGGAGGCCATGGAAGACAGGAGTGCCTGGCGTGCTCTGGTCCATGGAGTCACGAAGAGTCAGACATGACTAAACGACTAAACAACAACATGTTTACAATAGCCTATGGTTGATAACTTACAGGCAGCTACGTTTTAAAGCCATTTAAGGTTTCTGGATCATCTTGAGCGACAGCCATGTATGCAACACATTACAGTAAGTCAATCTAGAAATTACAAAGGCAGAAAAGAGGGTAACTAGTTATCATAGGGATGGGATGTAGCTCAATAGAGCACATGCTCTGCATGTTTAAATTTCCCTAGACTCAATCGCTCATATCTCTAGGTAGGATTGGGGCGGAGGGATCCCATCTGGATTGCTGTTGCCAGTCAGTGTAGACAAAATTGAGCTTAACAGATCAAGGGTTTGACTTGGATGACTACAGACTGTATTTCACAGGAGGGTTTCAAATGCATATCATAAATTTAAGTTTGTATAATCAAAGTGCTCTGCCGCCCTAGCATAACAAATCTACTTTTTAAAAAACCCTGGACTTTTTGCACTTATGATGCCTCCTTCCTATAGCTATTTTTTATTCTTATAGCTTACATAATATATCCTGCTTTTGCCCCACTTGTTGTTTGAGTTGCTCAGGCAGATTATCTGTTGAGACTTTTTAGCAGTGTGACAGTTAAGTTTTCCCCATCTTTGCAGCTTCATGTGTGGATAGTGTGGTTACATAGTTTAGTCACTAGATGGCACTGGAGTTAGTTGTATCTTGGCTGTGAGAAGCTTCCTTGTCCCGTTTTTGTTGGAGAGACAATAAACTTAAGAGTCTAGTTTCATGACTGGTGCATCCTTTGAGCCAGTAGCCTTCAACTAGTATTTCAGACCTTTCACCCAAATGTGCATTTGGGGACCAGTTTACATTATTATTATTATTATTATTATTATTATTATTATTATTATCTATTTGTATGATGGTAGTGCCACTGTTGCAAACCAACTTAGGAAAAGCCCTTCTGGCAACAAAATGTGCTCCCTGTCACCACTCCACCACCACCACCTTTTGCCTCCAAACCACCCTCAAAAATCCCACAGAAGACATATAAGCAACCACCAGACTGTCAGAGTTCCCTTCAAAGAGAACAGGAGAGGATTATTTCCCAGCTCATCAGAATGGAGGAAAGGACCCGTCAGACTTCTTGAACGGCTCTGCAGAGCAATACGAAACCTGTGACCCTATGTCTAGTCAGGATGCACTTTTTGATTAATAGCTCACCTTCCAGAAGGGCTAGAGACTTTCTTTGGGTTGTTGTTTTTCCCAATGAAAGCTCAGACTCTAGAGCCCCAATTGCACCATGAATAATTGGCCTTGTGGGGGCATCCCTTTCCTAAAGTTCTCTACTCCGTGATGCTTGGTGGTTCTTCCAAGCATTTAACTGAAATATTCACACATGGAAATATGGCAGCAAGTGAGCCATTCCTAGTATGTGTGTACAGCATAAGTGCCAGGGAACACATATAATATGCAAATTGATCTAAAATATGCTGTTCCTAAGCAAGAAAACACACACATGCACATAATACAAGATACCATAAATTCTACTTGAATTCTTAACAACAACAACAACAACCCAGGAAAATTGAAGATCAAAGCACGGCCTTCAAGTTTGAATTTTGCTTTATCTCAGATTATTATCCCCCACACTATGCCTGTGTTTTGCTGACAATGGAAAGGCGGTAGCAGTGCCACTACCAGAAGTGAGACCAGGCACACTGCTATTTATCTTCCTTCCAGACTACATTCAAATGATCAGAAATCACAAAGTTTACTTCTTAATGCCAGTTATGTCCACAACAAAAATCAGAGCAAATGAAAGTCCACAGAATACACAAAGGATTTTCTTCCCTCTTACCAGTAGAGGGACACAGAGTCCCTTGAGACACATTAGCTTGTCGCTGACACTCTCTTTGGCAACCTGCCATTTTACCCACACACATTGAACTTGCGCCCAGTATCCCGGCTCCTTCACTGTAAGCAAAAACAAAGCAACAAAAACACTCTTGGGGATGGGATAGGAACACGTTCCATCCTTAATGATTTGATGCATAAACCTTATGCAAAGATACTCATATTGCAGAATTCTAAATGACAGGGTTGCATTGCCAAACCAAGGCGCTTGGAGCCATATAGCAGGATCACTTCAAATGTCACTAATGTGCACTTTAATCCAACACATTCAGAGTAACTTCACATGTGAGCCTCCTTCCAATATCAGATACATGTTATTTAATTCTTTCATGACAACTGCAAACCATTATCATCCTTTTTATGTTTATTTCACAGCCGTCTCTAAGCAATTATGCACGTGATTTGATATTCTCATCATCACAACGGTTTGCGGGGACTGTGGGGCTGGGGCTGGGTAGGAAGTCCAGTCCTTGCCGACTCTTGGACATTTCAGCCTATGATAAGATATCACTTGCCATAGATGCAGCTTTGAGGAAACAAGGAGCGCTGAAGAGGTCATCTGACTGCTTCAGTAAATGCCCTTTGTGATGAGGGGAAAGGATAGTATATTTATATATCTATTTCTAAAATGCATATCGTTCAATAAAACAATATTAATAAATATCAGCATAATTAATATTAATGTAATTCCATTAATTAAAAGAAAAGTATCATAGCCATAATGTGCTAACAGCACTGTCTAGGTGTAACTATCAGGGTAGGTTTTCAAACCCTTAGTGTGTGAGTTTCACAACAGGCAGAACATGTAGTTGAGAAGCAATGGCTTCTCAATACATCCAATGCACACATCTCAAGAATCCTGGGAACTGTGGTTTGTTAAGGATGCTGGGAACTAGAGCTCTGCACTTGATAAACTACAGTTCCCAGGATTCATTAGGGTGGGGAATGTACTTTAAATGCATGGTGTCTACACTGCCACTGAAAACAACTTCACAATAAACTGAAGCCTAGGGTGACCTTGATGAGAAGTAATACGTGATATCTTAAACCCATCTCCACCTTGCCAATTCCCTCCACCCTCCTTCCACTCTCTCTTTCCCACCATCTTACTGCCGCTGCACGCACCCTTCAGCTCTCCCCCCCGCTACTTCATATTTTGTACTTCAAGTGCCTCTGCCTTCCCCTCCAAACACAAACCCCAAACATGGTTCGTTACAAAAAGTGAATCCTTTCAACCGAAGGAGTTTGAGTTAGTGCAAGCTGAACTGCTTTCAGCACGGTCTAACACATTCTGATGTCACTGGGTAGCCTTTGTGGAAGGAAACTGGGAAAGTTCAAAATGCTCAAGAGAAGGTGAATGGAAATGGCCCAGTTTGCATGTAGTGCTAGGCCGAACTATGGCTTCGTGCAAACAAGCAAGCGTGCAGGTTTCCGGATAGAATATCATGGCTGTTTTGCTCTTCCTCTGGTCCTGCTGCTGCTACGCTGCTATGAGCTAAGCCATGGTTTGACTTAGCTTTATGTATGAACCCAGGCTTGCAATTTATTCCGTCCCCGCAACAAACCACGAATGTCACAGAAAAAACCATGGCTACACTTTGTAGTTTGTCTGTAATGAAATAATTATTCAGATGGAACACTAATGCAAACTATGACTTACCTCACAACAGTGCAGTAGTGGCAAGACAGGAGGTGCAATCTTTTCCCTGGGAGCCAGCACGTTTGTTCATGGTATGGCTTGGTGTTACATGTGAATCAGGTGGCAATGAGAGTATGCTGAAACATTCAGGCAGGCAGTTCAACACTGGCAAATTCAAACCTGGAAATAACACATTGATTCTTTTCAGGGTCAGGTAGTGATGCAAATGTTTATTTATTAACCAAATTTGTATACCACTTAATTGTAAATAAACCCTCTAAGCAATTTACAAAGAATCCAATCAGATGACTTCTTCTTCAGAAGCTTATTGGCAATTCAGACGGTCTCCACCATCAGCAGAGATGATGGAGAGATATCCTCTACATATCTTCTTGGGGTCAGTGATTTATGTGAGGTGAAGTGGTTAGATTGGAACCTGGGATCTAATTCCAACTCTGCTGTGAAACTCACTAAGTGATATTGGGACAGCTGCTATCTCTCCCAGCCTAATCTACTTCCTATGGTTAGTCTGATTTCAAAGCAAAATAAAGTGAGAGCCATGTACATTGCCCTGAGCTCTTAAGAGGAAGGGCAGGATACAAAAGGAATAAATAATTACCGAGTGAATTACCCTCAATTTGGTGCTTTGAATGCTCCTTCGGTACAAAAGTGAAAATGGCTTAAATAGCTAAACAGCAACGACACTCATAAAATTTTAGGAAACATGCTTTGAGCTAAAGAAATCTCCTCACTTCTGAATCATGTTACAGCAGCCATCTGGGATGCTGCTGTGGTTGGTATATGATCTTCATAGCTCCCCTGAGAATGTTAATCTCCTTAGCTCCTTGGCATGTGATTCTGTTTGAGGCTTTCTTTCTGATTATTTCAAATTGTGGGGGGAAACCCAACCATTTCCTTCATATTGTAAATAGTATTTCCACATGAAAGTCACTCGGGGCTGAATAGTGGGTAGTCTCATATGGTTGTGCATTTGAGTGGAAGAGCTTGCAAATGGATTATCAGGTTCAAGTGAAACATTAAGGAGGGCAGGATGGAAAACAGATTTCATTGCCATACATGGAGGACAGGAGTCGCTCGGCATTGACACCCTATTTCTGTACTCAAGTCTGTCCACCAGCTGGTAAGTGCTGATGCAAAGGTAACTGATCTCAGGAAAAACATGGGTCCCGAATGTCCATAAAGGAACATTACTGGGTGAAGGTTTAAAAATAGAGGCAATCAATGTGATGCACCCAAGGCTGTCCTGAGAGCAGCTCTACTCTTGTAACAGTGCTGACAGAAAAGAGTGACATGGGTTCCAGTTTTCCATGCAAGAAGTGTGCCTGTTAAGATTACCTTATGAAGGAGTGAGTGGATATTCCTTACACTTGAGCAGCAAGTTGCTTCTGTACCTGACCAGCAATAAGTCCTACAGGTGATGTGGGATACCTTTCTGTTTAACTTTTACCACCTCTGTTATTGACGCAAGCCACCTATTTTTGAGGGCTGTAGCCTTTAAACAAAAAGTAGGCAACACACAGCAGCACTGGAGGCTGGACCATTAGGGGAAGAAAGAACTGCTCCACCAACCTAAGGGCTCAGCCATACTTTATTTGCTCTGCATCTCTAGACACAGGTTTATGCTTCAAAACTTCCTGTCTTCTTCTTCTTTGCCTCAGCGATTTCCCCACGAAAACCTACTCTTTCCCTGCAAAAGCCTACTCTTTACCACCAAATTGGAGCAAATGACAATTCACAGAAACCCTGAATTGCTGTTTGTTCTTATTCAACGTTAAAGAGCAGATTTTCCTGGAGAAAGCGGCAGAGTGGGGAAAGCAGTTGGATATGGACTGGGAAAATGCAGACCTCTACCTAAAAAGCTTGGGACAAAAGGTAAGAGTGAATGAGCCCTCAGTCTGGTATCATTCAGCCTCTATCTTCCTGCCTTCCTACTTACACCCAGTCCAAGGAGTAGCACTGCCCATCAGCTTCTTCAGTGTCAGTGTTGCCCTTGTAGAATTCAGCAGGGAGCAGGTTGGGGACAAAACTAGAATTGGCGCAGGCTCCAAATACTGTTGGACTTCCAACCTTCTGCCCTACAAGTCCCAATGGGCATCAGCCACAACCGCACTGCAGTGTTCCCTTCCAGCTTCTCACTATGGAACCAGATTTCTTCAAGCTACTACAAGACCAATAACAAAATAGTAAGATTAATTACTTAGCCACTTCTTCTGGTATTGCGATGTAATATGTATAAAACATATGCGGTATAAACTGGTGATAAAAGACACGGCAAAAAATAAAGATAAGAAGGTAGGAAATAATCTAGGGCACAAATTATGTATAAATGCAAGCAGGAGAAAGGGAAGGAAGAACAACTGCAATATAAATGTGATTAAGAAGATCAAAGTGCTTTGGGTTTTTGTGCACAAAGGGCAGGCCAACCAGGAGCAGCTGTAGTATTTAATTCAATAGCAGACATGATCTCTCCTGCAAGAAAAATAGCAACCAGTTCAAAGAACTCAAGGGAAATAAAGAGCAGATGATGGAAAGATAGATCTAGGTCCCGGAAACCTGCATTTGACTGGCATGGCAATGTATGATACACACCTGTCAACTTGTCCAAGATTAAGTCCTCACAGTCAACTGAAATTAAGGAAGGAGATGTTTAATCAGATTATCAGAAGAGAGCTAAGAGGTCTTTACTGTTTCAATGAGAAGCAACAGCAATGTGCTCAAGAACTGGTTGCCGCAGCACCACACTGTGCGGGGGCAGATTTTATGCATGCAGTGGTCAAGAAGTGGGGAGAACTCATCGATGCTGATGTTGGCTCAGCATTGCTGAGCCTCTGTAGAGATGTTTGGCAGCCTGCACCACCATCAATAACTATGCCACTGGGATATGCAAACCATTAGAGGCTTCTAGGCAAGAACCTCCTAGATGAAGAAACAGTCTGAAAATGTGTAGTGCTTCCTTAAAGCAGGGGTGGCACTTGGACTAATTTCATGCAGGTGAATGGGAAGAAATGGGTGGCAGAGAGAGAGGGGTGGGAGAGAAAGAACGAGACAAAAGGAGCTACCTCATCCATTTATGGCTCAGGCCCATGCATCCTCCGACGGATTGACTCTCAGAATGTGCACTTCCCAGGAGAAAAAAAAGGTTCTCCAGCCCTAGCTCAAAGTTTAGAAACAGGAGCAGCTGTGTGGGGCTTCCTATGGTCTATAGGGTGGTCTGTCCACATGTTTCTGCAATATATCATCTTAAGCACATCCTGTATGCATCTTTTCTTCTCATCTCCATAAATCCCTATACATTATTATTCCCCTTAAACTATCATTGAAGGATGCCCACCCATGAACCCTTGGTTTGGACATTTTTGACTGAATGAGAATTTTCTCACAAATAAAGTGTAAGAAATTTAAAAGGAGGTTGGAGAAAAAAATGGAGAGCACACTCTCCCGCAGGTGTTCTGCCTTATCTCCAAGAATCTAAGAACCATGAAATATGGGTACATCAAAGATTCAAGCATGGGGAAATTCCATTTTTTTATTAATGAGCTGAATCCAGAGACAATGTTTAAGAGCCAAGTCAATCCACCTAGATCCTGAAATGTATATAATTTCATTGTGTACTAAACAGCAGAGATGGAAAACGTCCGATGGCAGTTTTTAGATCACACAGTCTTGCTCTTATTGCACTCCTGTTCTACTTTTTGCTGTGCTTCTGCCTTAAGCCCCTTTCTCCGCTCTCCCCCGACCCCCAGCACGAACTTCTCAGCCTTGTCATATTACTCACCAGCTGTGTAACAGGAACCCTTCAGCTGTTTTGATGTATGAGGCGTGAGCATGTCTGAGCCTCATCCTGTCCTTTTGAGACCCTGTGTCCAAATACCTGCTGCTGGCTAGAGAGACAGGAGAAGTTTATTAACCCTCCCAGCTATGGTGAATTATTTGAAGTCGCTCCTTCTATATTTCCATTTCCCTGATGTTACCTCTGTCTTCATCAGGATGATGTTTTTTGGTCTCTCTCATTCTGTGACTGATGTTACTCTCACATGTCATCGGTGCCTGGTTCAAAATCCCAAACCCAGCGAAATGGTACACACATCATCTGCTGTGCTTGTGCCCATGCCCACGAGTGTGCCCAAGTGGTTAACAGTTAACACTCATGGTTAACCAACAATTCGTTAAAGAACAAAGCTTAGAACATCACAGTGTTTCCTGATTAAGTCAATTTAATGCTTTCAGTCCTACTTTTCTTGCAACACTAACTCTTGTTAGAGGAGATTTCATCGAGGATGCCCCAATTAAGCACCACAACATCCTGGCAAAAGGAATACAAAAAGTCCTTTTTAAAAAAGGTTAATCTAACCCAACACTACTATCTCTGCAGGGTAAAAAAATATATATATTTTAAGCAGAGAAAAATCTAGCCTTACCATCTTCATGGTGCAGAGCCTGGAAGAATCCTAACAGAAGTGTGTAGAGAGGAGACATTCAGCTTGGGAGCAGGATGGCTCCAGTACTTTTTTGTTTTGTTTTTGTTTACCCAGCGCCAAGATTCCTGAGCATTCTCTGGTTACAGGACAGCGGCTGAAGTCCAAGGATGCTGTTGGAAAAAGATGATCCCTGGAGGCATTTCTGCTAATACTGAAAACATGGTTGAGCACGATTCTATAAAGCTGCAAATCCCGCAGGGAATGTTTTTAGAAACACATTAATGCCTCGGCTAAATCGGAGGCAGGCCAAAGCCTCAAGTCAAAATTTCAGAGCAGTATCATAAGGAATAGGAGGCACACAAATGCCATAATTCTACTTTTTGTGTGTGAGAGAGATACCTCAACATGGGACTTGAACACAGCAAACTAGGCTCCTCTTTCCATTACTGCCATCCCTTCCCTTAAATTGCCTCTCAGTCCTGAGGAAGAAATATGGCATGTTCTTAGTCAGTGACCATGGAACTAGGCCCTTAAAGGTATAGTGTTGTATTCAGTGCTTTTTTGTGGTGGTACAAGCACTTCCTTTTTGTTGCCCATGGCAGCCATTATGTGCTGCCACCCATGTTACTTTACAAGTACCAGCACCTCATTTATTTATTTTTACCAGAAAAAGCACTGGTTGTAGTCAACTAAGTTTTACTCAGAGTAGACCTGTTGAAATTAATAGTTTTAACTTAGTTATGTTCTTGCTGGGTCTACTCTGAGTAAAATATAGTTGAACACCACCCATTTTCTTTGGGATTTCCACCTGGCAACTCCACTTCTTTTTATTTTCCTGCACCCAATTTACTTCCGCTTCCCACATTTTTTTATTTTAGCTGTTCTGATGATGTAAAAAGAACTTTGCTCCTAATTTCAAAGCAGTTAGGACCTCACCTTTTCAACTGTTAAATGAAGAGAATGGAGGAGTTTTTATTTGTCCACATACTTTCTGATTAAATTATTGATTGCTTATTTGTCTGAAGAATTTTGGATCACACTCTTTAGCTCAGCAAGTCTTCCAGGTCACTACAGATGAGAGATGCCCTGCCTTCAGGCTTGCAATCTAAAAAAACCCCATGAGATTGAGAGAGAGGTGGAAATAAGCAAACTCAAGCACAAGTTCTTAATTACAAGTTCTTTTAATGACCAGCTGGGGTAGAAAAGTTCAGGGAGGGGAGGAGCCAAACATGGCTGGCTTTTCAGCTGTGTCATTGGAATGGTTGCCGTCAAATGACGAGGAAGGAAGGAGCCTGGGTTTACAGCAAATCTGATGATGGCCTTGCATCACTTTTCTTCCTTCCTCTATTACAGGCTGATGTAATGGCTGCTGCCAGGTGACAGTTCGGAAAGAGGGAGGAGTCTAGATTCTCAGCACAGTTTTTGGTGACCCTGCATCTCTTCTTTTCCAGTGTTGCAAAATCACATCCAGAAGAGAAGTATGCTACATAAGATGGTTTACAATCTGAATTTGGATACTTATGTCCAGGGGTAATATTCACCTTGACTTCTTAGGTAGGCCTTCAATCTGTGGATGACACTCAATAGTGGGGTGTGGGGAGGGACTAGCTGTGGAATACATGACATAGTTGGATCTGAGTTTGCAGCTCAAGCATAGGAAGCATGTCAGTTTTCAAAATGAACTTTAAAAAATCTCTTTTTAAACTATTTGTTGGTTGGGGTGTATCTACCAGATGATTACCTCTGTCAGCTTTTTTACTTTCTTTTGTGCCTTTCTGTTGTATGATTTTAAAAATATAGTTACAGAAAATCAGTGTTGGGCAGAAAAGCAGTGTTTGACAAAAACTGTAAATGGTTCCAAATAAAGTATGCGTTAACAAGTGTTATTTCTGAATTCTTCCAAATTGCATGTACCACATAGAACAAAATTCAAATTGTAATACAATAAAATACAATATCTAAGAAATAAAATTTCTTAGTGCAACACATTATAACTTCATATAAGACCAAATCCCCCAAAGCCTCTACTGGAGGGCAGGCCCACCGTAACTGTAAATAGGTTCCTATTTAACTGCATTGTTTTCAGCTTCCCCTCACCCTTGAGCTTTGAGACCAAAACAAATTTATTTTTAAGTACCTAACACAATTAAGGGTCTGCTTATATGATCCATTATCCTGAGACGGAAAACCCACCAACTCATTCCAACTTATTATTTATATAGGAACATAATAAGCTGCCTTGGTTAGGTGTGTATTGAGCAGAAAAGCAAGTGAAAGAATATGAACAACTTCTGGAAAGGGCAGGAACATTTTTAGACTGCAGTCCTAATTCCATATAGGAATAGGAGTAAACCCCACTGAATTCAATAGGACTCCTGAGTGAGCAGATCTGGTTAGGATTGCACAGTTGCTCATTTTTCTTTCATGAGAAGTCGCTAAGCAGCAACTAGATGTGCCCGGCAGCCATTGTGAATATGGCTGGGAATTTGGATGAAGAGTAGTGGATCAATTTTGCTCCCTTACCCAAAGTTTTCAATTTCACACATATTTGGAATTCTAAATTTATTAATTTATAGCCAGTGGTGAATGTGTTGGGTGTAAGATTAGGCAGATGGTAGTTTGAGGCCCCACTTAGTCACTAGGTGGCCTTGCGCCAGTAACTATTTCTCAGGGAAAAGATAAAATGGAGAAAAGAACCAGGTATGCTACTCTGAGGTCTTTGGATAAAGGATGTAATAAAAAGGTAAAGGGACCCCTGACCATTAGGTGCAGTCGTGACCGACTCTGGGTTTGCAGCACTCATCTCGCTTTATTGGCCGAGGGAGCCGGCGTACAGCTTCCGGGTCATGTGGCCAGCATGACTAAGCCGCTTCTGGCGAACCAGAGCAGTGCACGGAAACACCGTTTACCTTCCCGCCGGAGCAGTACCTATTGATCTACTTGCACTTTGATGTGCTTTTGAACTGCTAGGTTGGCAGGAGCAGGGACCGAGCAATGGAAGCTCACCCCGTCGCGGGAATTCGAACCGCCGACCTTCTGATTGGCAAGCCCTAGGCTCTGTGGTTTAACCCACAGCGCCACCCGTGTCCCTAAAGGATGTAATACTCTGTTTCTATTTCAGAATTTAAAAATGTAAAGCACCACTGGTAGCAAACTGAGGAGAAAACTGCAAACCTGTTTCTGAAGTCAGATATGCCCCAAAACATTACATGGATCTGCTTAGTCCACAATGGGAAAGAGATGACAAACAGTTGCAGTTGAGCTCAGTGGACAGGATGAATGCCTCCAGCCTGCACTGCCTGTACCCACATTGTAGAGAAAACAATCTGGATACTTTGTATTATGCTGGAAGCCAAACACTGGAGTGCGAAACGTCCTTGTTATGCGAATAACTCCCTCTTTAATAGATAGCGAGGCATTACAAATATCCTCAAACAATCCCAATGGCCTTATGTCTGGATTAGGCCTTCTCAATGTGTGTAGAATCTATTCCAAAAGGAATGCCTTTGGCTGATTCACAACACAAACATAGCCAGAGAATGCATGGCCTGTGATCCTTGTCAGCCTTACAACAATGAGCAGACAAAGGCAAACACGACGTGCTAATTGAAAGCAACACTTCATGCATTTATAGGTCAGGCTATCTACCAACTGCTAAAATGTCTCGCAGAGCAGCTTGCCCATTTCCGTGGGAATATTTTCAGAGATTTTGAACACATGCATTGAACTCATGTAGCATTGAAAGCTTGCATAACTTTTTATTTGTTGATCACATAAAACAAATGGCCTTCTAATGTACATCACAATATAAACTCTATGTGGGGGGGTTTTTTTTTGGGGGGGGGGAGTATAATCATCAATGGGGCCTGTCTAGAACACACAAAAAGAAAAAGCAGTCAAAAGAAGACACAGATTTGGGTAAAATTTGCATATCCTGATTTATATGTATAGTCAGCAACCATTTGGCATGGGGGTTCCATTCCTGGCCCCCATATGCGCCAACGGAGCATGCATAATAATAATAATAATAATAATAATAATAATAATTTATTATTTGTACGCCACCCATCTGGCTGGGTTTCCCCAGCCACTCTGGGCGGCTTCCACAAAGACAAAAAATACACTAAGATGTCACACATTAAAAACTTCCCTGAACAGGGCTGCCTTAAGATGTCTTCTAAACGTCAGGTAGTTGTTTATCTCTTTGACATCTGATGGGAGGGCGTTCCACAGGGCGGGTGCCACTACCGAGAAGGCCCTCTGCCTGGTTCCCCGTAGCTTTGCTTCTCGCAATGAGGGAACCGCCAGAAGGCCCTCGGCGCTGGACCTCAGTGTCCACTCTGCCCCATTCAGCTCTGCTACACCCCCATTCCATCCCCTGTTCTGCCTTCTTCCGTGTCCAAATGGACCTGTTTGTCAGCGGCCACACATTAATTGGACGAGTGCAAAATGTCCACCGCCTGTATGGAAGCCAATCTAAAAATGATTACAAATTCAACTTTTTAAATTAAATTATACATCTCACCATAATTGGAGAAACTGTGAGCAAGTGACCCAGGTGCCTGCTTGTTTGCTATCTGAGTGCAAATTATTTCTGGGCAACACCAAGGCTCCTGTTCTCCCTTCTTACAGTTATTTGCTTTTAAAACAGTTTCGGACCAATGAACCCTTCAGAGAGAGGGCTGTCCTCAGCTGTCCCCTTTATAGAAGACCGTCCTCTGTAAAGTAGGACACATGGCTGCCCCTAGAAACAAGCCCGATCTTAAGCACTATTGCTGCGTTAAAAATCAGCTAAAATTGGAATTTTAACGTTTCAGGAGGGTACCAGGTTAAAAAAAACTAAAGAGGATTTACAGGGAAAGACACAGGTTGTACAAGTTACGTAAAAGTTAGCATTTCTCAATCTGTAGACTTGGAAAGAGATGAAAATAATGTAGGATTCTACTTAAGATAAATCCCTCCCTGCCCGGTTTTTCTCAGGCTCAGAAATTAAGGGTCTGGTGGCAATTCAGTGGCATGATCTGGAAGAAAAGAAAGTAACTGAGAAATGCTAACATC